AACCGTAAATTTTATTAAGTTACTGATAAAAAATACGAATATAGTTTGTTAAGTAAATAAAAATATAAATGTGTCAGCTAAATTTTATGTAGTTACAGATATGAAAGAATATATTTAAATTTTAATGTAAATAATAATGTTTTTAATCGAAAAATGCATCGAATTTTACACAATTTTGATAGAAATGGTACAAAATTTGATGCTTGTTTTTTTATTTATTATGCATCTCCAACAATTATTTACGTTTATTCTTCAATTTAGAGAAAAAAGATAAAATTCTAAAAACCGAATTATATTCAATTTCAACAGCTTTCTTCACTAAAATATTCAATTTATATAACAAAAGCTTTTTTCTATTTCTTTTTCCATTTATTTTATTGGTTATATTTTGGAAATAACAATATAATTTTTTGAATAAAAACTCCAAAAATTGCATTTTCTTTGTTGACCATCCATTAAAACACATTTTAAATTGTCGCCTCATCTTTAAAAATTATGTAAAATTACAATGATTTCTAACCAATTTTTAGGTGAAACTTCATCGTAAAAATTATATTTTATTTAAATAATAGCAAAACTGTAATTAAATATTATTTATTATAACTTAATATGAAATAATTTATTAATTAAGTGGTTATCTATATTATATTATAAAACATTTGACAAAAATCCTTAAAATCATTTTTTATGTATAAAATACTATTTATTGATGCATATTACTTAAAATTCAAGATCATAAGTAAATTGTGCATAAATACAACTTATTAAAGTTTTTTTTTTTAAATTTGTGTAACTAACTATGGATATATATAATCAAATTACAGGATATACATCTCATTTTAAATATAAAAAATCTAAAATATAATTAAGATAATCATTAGTTATAACAAAATATTTAATTATTGTTTTTATATAAAATTATATAATTAAACGATAAATAAATTACTTTGTTGTTAAATCTAAATTAATTTATAAATAAAATATCGAATTAAAGAAATTACACAAAAAACCAAAACTTTAAATAGGAAATTTGATACTAATATTGATCTATTCTTTTCTCCATATTTTTATGATATATTTAAATTTATATTTTATTCAAAAAAATAAACGTTTTCTTAAAACAACTAAAAACCGTATTATATCGACCTATATAAATAATAAAACAATACGTTAAAATTGAGATATATTTCGCTATATTATGCGAGCATCATTCTAGTTATAAATTAAAAATAGATTAATTAAATAGAATGTTTATATTTATGCTCTAAAATCTTTCTAAAAGTCATTTTTAATATTTCATATAGTTTTGTTGTATTTATGTATATTTATAAAAACTAGAACGGGACTAGCACAATGCAGCGAAATATATCTTCATTTTAATATTTCGTTTTATTTTTTTTTGTCTCTGTTGATATAATACGATTTATGTAGTTTTGAGAAAGATAATGTTTTTACGATTTAGTGAAGTAATTCATTTTTGTTTTAACAATAAAATTTTATAAAGATAAAGATTCTGTTAGAACTCAATGATTATCCCAATTATATTTTAGATTTTTTATATTTAAAAAATGATATGTTCATCATGTATTTAATCATCTTTATCTGCAGTTAGTTATACGAATTCAAAAATGAAGCTTTAATAAGTTATATTTACGCACAATTTACTTGTAATCTTAAATTTTAAGTAATTATGCATTAATGCATAAAAAAATGATTTTTAAGAGTTTTTGTAAAAATACTTTATAATATAATTATAGACTGTGTTAATATTAAGTGATGAAAATGAAACTATTTATTTAAAAAAAAAAAAATTATTCATTTTAATAATTAAAAAAAAAGATGTTGAAATTGGTCTTAAAAATATGGAACATTAATTACAAAGTTATCACATATCCCAAAAGAAAAGTAAATGTAAAAGCCTTGATTAATTATTAACTAACAGTTAAAAAGTAGTAAATTACCAAAATACCCTTGTCTGGTCAACCTTGAAAGCCCCCCTTCCCTCCCTCCTTCCTTCTCTCCTTGGTTTAGTCATCAGTAAACACAGAGAGAGATTTGTAGAGAGAGATAGAGAGAGAGTGGGGGCAAAGCTGCAGCGTTTGGTCCCTGCAATACTCAGCAAACCCTCCTTTTTTAAAGTGTCTCCGGTCTTCTTCTTGTCCCCCTTCCCCCCTTTTCCGCCCCTTTTTATTTTTTATTTTTTCTCTCTTTCCCTTTTGCTTTTCCTTTTCCGGCGTCTCTCGCCGGAAAACGCCCCCACCGCCACATTCTGTTACTTACTTTCTACTGATAAAACATTTGTCTAATTTGTTTTTGATCTGCTTTTCCATGAATCTCCGGTGCTAGGATTTTCCGGTCATTTTTTTATATAACTACGGTGATCCCAATTTCAGTCACCAATGAAGGCGCCGGCGAACGCTTCTGGATCCACTTTAACGATGGAGAATCCAGGCGAAGGTCAGCCTTACACTCTCTCTCTCGGATGATTAAAAAAAAACAACTGGTTTTTAATTTTTAACGTTCGTTTTTTTTGTCTTTCGCTGATTTTGTGTTGTTGTTACCGATTTGTTGGACCTTCAAATCAATCTGAAAATATTCTAAATCTCCGCCAACACTGTATTATTCAATGATATTTTTGTTTCTGTTTTGAGTTTCGATTTGATATTTACAAACAGGTGGAGAGAAGAAGAGCATAATTAATCCGGAGCTATGGCAAACGTGCGCCGGACCTCTGGTCAACTTACCGGCGGCAGGGACTCACGTCGTCTATTTTCCTCAAGGCCACAGCGAACAGGTTCAATTTGTTGTTTCTTCGCCATCTCTTTTACTAACGTGCGCCGTTGCCTGATCATCTTTTCCATGTAAACCGTGTGCTTTTGCATTTGTTTTTCATCCTCCCCTTTTCGCTTATAGCCTTTTTCATGCCGCAACAGCCTCATGACTTGTACCGTACAAGTTGTTCATGCAGTACAGCACCGAATTTGATTTCTAATCTATAGGTGTAGTAGTTGTGATGAGCACTCTACCTTATAAATTGTAATACAAAGAAGATAAATGATCGGAATTAATCTCCAGTTTGGAGATTCCAATTCCGTACATGGGAGTTGCCTAATCAATCAAATGAATGGGTGGCAAAACAATTCAATCGAATTCAAAAACAAAAAGAAAAAGAAAAAGAAAATGTAATAATATCTGCTAAAGTGCGCCTGCCATGGTGATGGTTGGTGGGGGAAGAATCTCTCCCTCTGTAAATACCAGATGAAGAATTTGGTTTCTTTATGATGAAAAGTGCAGAAACGATACACTGTGTATTGTGGGGGTTTCTTTTCATTCTCTTTTTTATTTTTCTTATAAATATTATTATTATTATTATTATTTATTATTATTATTATTTGCAATGGTTTCTTGTAGGACCCACTTGTCTTTTACATTTTGGACTTTCTTTTTGAAAACCAATTAATGTAGTTTAATAAAATTGTTCTTGACTCTATAATTTGTAACTGATCAAACTTATTTTGTTTTGTATTTGTTAAAGAAGGGTAAAAATGTCAAACCAAATGTTGTAATTTTCATGCAATAATTGATAAAATAAGGACCGAATTTGTGACGATCAATAATTTGCAATGATGATAAGTGCAATTAGGTCGTTTTAGTCATTATAATGGCATAATTGTACTGAAGTTGATGGTTTACCGTCTAGGAATAGGGATTTAACGCATTTATATCATATCGTATTCGTTTTGTGTTTACTTTTATTGTGACTATTAAATGAAAAATTCTCCGTATGATATCGTTGTTACTATAATTATGGCAACATGAACCCACCGTGTCGATGGTATTGGAGTCGGATTTTGCGATTGCCGATTTGATGGTAAGACTAGAATAATTGTTGGCACCCATCAGAAAGTGGTTGCCTCCTTTTAATCCATTTAGTAAATGTAACAAATGAATTCAGGCTTTATTTGTTTATCGAAGATAACAGAATTTTGTTGGGTGCATTTAATATGGAGCAACCATAGTGCACCAAGAACCTTGGCTTTTGGTTCAAAAGGGAAGGTTTTATGCATAGTTAATTTTAGTATTTTTTTATTTATTTTATTTATGTGAAGATCTTCTTTCCATGATTCGAACCCGAACTTGTGACGTTCATAAATTGACAATTAGAGGAATGTTTCGTTAGGAACTTGAAATTGATCAAGAACCTGGAGCCGTCCACAACATGTCACATGTCTTCTACAGGATGAATATGAAGTGTTATTCATCATGAATATGAACGTATTATTCATCATGAATGTGTATGTATTACAATATTGATGATGAATAACAAGTCCATGTTTATGATGAATGAATATGTCAAGTGTCGCATTATGAGCAGTTTTCACATTCCTAATCAACTTTAGGTTTCTAAACGAATCTGCCCCTACTCATTGTTATACAATCTCTTCTCATAATTCTTCTGTAAAGAGGCTTAAATGACTTGAATTCATACCTTCCGAAAGGAGTGATCTTATCGGTTGCTTTATGGCTTGCCCTATGCATATAAGTAGAGTTATTTATTCTCGTTTTCAATTTTCTGCAAGATTGTTGGAACTTGTACGAAAGCCATTCTCCCTCCGCTCTTTTACTTGTAACGTTTTGTCCTTGATCAAACTATGGGACTCGGAATCAGCTACAAGCAACTAAATTTGCACTAGATGCATATTCTGTTATGTTCTTAAAACAAGATCAACATTGTTGTTATTACATATGCTTACAGGTTGCAGCATCTATGAAGAAGGACGTCGATGCTCAAATTCCAAATTATCCCAATCTCCAGTCGAAGCTGTTATGCATCCTTCACGGTGTCACGTTGCATGTATGCCGATTTTGTTATTAATACAGTCGTTGAAATTTTTTGGGGGTTGTGGCATGTAATTGGATAAAATCGTTTTGAATTTGCATGTTTTTCTAATTATTACTATTTTGTTTTTAGGCCGATCCCGAAACAGATGAAGTATATGCTCAGATGACCCTCCAGCCTGTTCCTTCGGTATGGACATGAATCATGATCTACGAGGCTTTTATAAGTCGTTCAACGTGTTTGTACATTGGTAACTAGAACATGTTATTGGTGTATGTTTGTATGCAGTTCGACAAGGAAGCGTTATTGAGGTCAGATCTATCGATGAAAATAAATAAGCCCCAAACACAGTTTTTTTGCAAAACTTTAACAGCAAGTGATACGAGCACTCATGGGGGATTTTCTGTACCTCGCCGAGCAGCTGAGAAAATCTTCCCTCCACTCGTGAGCAAATTAATCTCCGTTGAATGTGAATCCTTTAATTCTTGAAATGTATGTCTTTATGTAATTTCCCATTTTTATAGGATTTTTCAATGCAACCACCTGCACAAGAACTTGTAGCAAGGGATTTACATGATACCGTATGGACGTTTCGCCATATTTATCGTGGTAAGTCCGTTTTTTAACGTAAATCTTTAATATCCAAAACCGTCTTCTTTTCGTGACTTGAGACTATACCTAAAATGAAATTCAGGGCAACCAAAACGTCACTTGCTCACAACGGGTTGGAGCCTATTTGTTAGTGGAAAGAGGCTTTTTGCCGGAGACTCGGTCTTGTTTATTAGGTAATGCCGTTCGTAGTCGTTCACGGTTATTGACTTCGTTTGGTATATTTTTTTTCTTTGGCGTATAATAATCTATACCGGGTGAACAGGGATGAAAAGCAGCAGCTGCTATTGGGTATTAGACGAGCAAATCGACAGCCGACCAATCTGTCGTCATCTGTTTTGTCAAGTGATAGTATGCATATCGGAATCTTGGCTGCCGCCGCCCATGCAGCCGCAAACAATAGCCCTTTCACTGTGTTTTATAATCCAAGGTAATCAACAAACCAGCTAGAAAGGTCGGTTTACAGATCAAAGGCTTTTCATACACCAAATGAATTAAAATGCCATTCATTTCTTGAAACAGGGCTAGTCCTTCGGAATTTGTTATTCCATTGGCCAAGTACTACAAAGCCGTGTGCAGTAACCAGATATCACTTGGCATGCGCTTCCGGATGATGTTTGAGACAGAAGAGTCAGGAACAAGAAGGTACGAGTGTAAGCTTGATATTTTGAATAACCTTCGTCAACTTCATTGCATCGAATCACGGAAATCAAACGCCAATTACAAGAGGCTATAAATCAAAGAAATTTATTAGAAACTGCTAAGTTATGCAAGTTCATGTTTCATGGGGATCTTCCTCTCTTATTTAAGATCTGGTTCACAACGAGTCTTTGAGCTTCTAGAACTCGAAACCTTAAGAGGGTGTAAACTGCAGGTATATGGGTACAATTACAGGTATCAGCGATCTTGATGCTGTTAGATGGAAGAACTCACAATGGCGCAACCTACAGGTATGCATCGTATCATGTATTTCGTACTTATGGAAGAAAGTGGGTAATTATGCGTTTGTGGGTCACGCTAACAACACTGCTTATTGCTATAACCATTTTATCATCGTGTGTAGGTTGGGTGGGATGAGTCAACTGCCGGTGAAAGGCGTACCCGTGTTTCAATTTGGGAGATCGAACCTGTTACAGCTCCATTTTTCATCTGCCCTACACCTCCTTTTTACCGACCAAAGCGTCCAAGACAACCAGGAATGCCAGGTGTGTTGACTAGGTTTCAAGATTATTAATTTTGAACTACAACTGAAAAAGCTAAATTTTTTAACACAAGTAACAGGATTATTAAGTTTGATTAGAGTCAGATGACCTATTTTTATTCACCAGAAGAGCCACATGATTTTATGCAAACTTTTTTGCATAGTATGGCCCCCATCATACCATCATAAAAGTACATAAAAAGGCACAATGCCTTGTGGCTTAGATTCTTATGTTGCCCTGTCATTTTCGTTCTCTGACCTTCAGAGGTATCATTTTCTCTTTTGGTCCTTGGATGAACTTGGAGACAAATATACTTACATGTCATTATTAGAACTTGAAGATGCTTTTGTCGAAAAAGAGCAGTAACTGTGAAGTCAACAAATGATTATTAGGCATAGAAAAAAGGTATAAAGGATAAAACCCCACAATGATTTTGAAGAATCTTTCGACTTTTTTGTAATGGCTTGAGCTCTAAATATCTGCAGATGATGAATCTGCCGACCTGGACAATTTCTTCAAGAGAACCATGCCTTGGCTCGGTGAAGATATGTCCACAAAAGATCCTGGCCTAAGCTTAGTCCAGTGGATGAACATGCAGCAAAGCTCGATACAACCTAACTACTTGAATCCTTTATCCGGATCTGTTTTGCAAAACTATGGAGGCCAAGATCTTTCGCGGCAATTGGGCTTATCAGCACCACAAATGCTTAATCAGAACACCATACAGTTCAATAGTCAAAGGTCAGCAATGCAGCTTGATCAGTTACAAAAACTACCCCAAGCTGCCCCAATGGTGCAGCCTCAGCAACAGTTGGCTGATCCAAATCAGCAACTGATGAGACAAAATGTGATCAATCAAACACTGCCTCAGAACCAAAATCAGCCCCAAATTCACCCTCAAAATGTACTTCAGCAGCAGTCATCGATACAGAACCATCATCTCTACAGAAACTTTCAGCAGCAGCAGCAGACAGTGGCAGTGAGTCAAAGTCAACAGAACAACTTGTTGCCACCCCAGTTTCCTGATCAACAAGTTAGTCAACAGTTACAGATGCCCGATAATCAAATTCCTCTTCAACTTCTACAGAAGCTTCATCAGCAGCAGCAATCACTTTTGGCTCAGCAACCACCGCAACAGCGTTCTCAGCTTGTACAACCACCACAAGATCAGCAAAAACCATTGATGGATGCATCTCAAAGCTTTTCAAGATCAGTCTCAACCAGCCAAACGATGGATACCGCACCTCAGCAGATGTCAAGAAACAATAGCCAAGCGAATCTTCGGTTTTCCCATCTTCCTCAACAATCAAATCTTCATTCAAACCAACAGTTTTCAGGGCAGATGGCTGGATCCACCCCTACACAAACCCATCAGCTTTCGACAAATGGTAGCAGTTTAATGACAGGAACTGCAGGTGGAGGAGGAGGAGGTCAATCTGGGATCACGGATGATGTCCCATCGTGTTCCACCTCACCTTCAACAAATAACTGCCCAACCATGGTTCCATCGATGATTAATGGTAGATCCTACATGAGCACAACTATGGGTGGCGAAGAGATGACACAGGCTTCTGCTCATCTAATGAATACTGGTGTAGCCACAGTATCAGCAAACGTGCACAACTTTGGTAAAAGTTGTCAACAGAATGCACCGTCGGTCAACATCGCAAAGAGCCATAACCAAGGATTGCTGTCCCCACTTACATACTTGCACAATATTGCCGGAACCCAGATGGATTTCTTGGACAGTTCATCTTCAGCGACATCGGTTTGTGTTCCTCAGAATGATCTTCATTTGCAACATCAGAACTCGAATCAGTTGTCTTCCAATTCACAACCGATAGTGCCACCAAGAGATGCAATTCAAGATGGCGAAGTTCAAAATGATCCAAGAACAGACATTCCATTTGGGGTGAACATGGACAACCATTTGGGAATGCCATCAATGATTCTCGATCCTCTGACTACAAAAGGGATGGTGGGATCTAGTAAGGATTTCCAAAACAATCTCAGCCCAGGTGGCATGATTTTAAGTTATGAAAACCCGACTAAAGACACTCAACCGGAACTCTCTTCATCCATGGTTTCTCAGCCGTTTGGAGTTCCAGATATGGCTTTCAACCCCATTGACTCCACGTTAAACGACAACAGCTTGTTGAACAGCGGTGTTTGGGCTCCACCACCACCACAACAGTTTCAGCGAATGCGTACATATACCAAGGTCTGGTGTGAAACTAGTATTTATAAATGTGAATTTTGTGGGAGTCGAGTTATGATATTGTATGTGTATGGTGTAGGTGTACAAGCGTGGAGCAGTTGGAAGATCGATTGATATTTCAGGTTATTCAGGGTACGAGGATCTTAAACAAGATCTGGCTCGAAGATTTGGTATAGAAGGTGAACTAGAAGATGGGCAAAGAGTTGGGTGGAAACTTGTGTATGTGGATCATGAGAATGATGTTCTTTTGGTAGGGGATGACCCTTGGGAGTAAGTCTTCTTTTCCAATCTTATTAGTGTGACATTTATCAAGTATGTTTTTGGATAAACAGGTTTTGATATTTGTATGATTTGTGGTGCAGGGAGTTTGTGAGTTGTGTTCGGTGCATAAAAATCTTGTCACCTCAAGAAGTGCAACAGATGAGCTTGGATGGAGATTTCGGTGGGAACAGTGGCGTGCTTCCGAATCAAGCATGCAGCAGCTCGGATGGTGGAAACATTTGAAAACGAGAATCGTTTTAACTATTAGGGTAGCTAGTAAGTTGTTGGAATCTAACCAAGCATAGTCAAGTATGGATGCTGTAGAAGCATGCATGAAAAGGGTGGAAGGAAAGATGACATCTAAATCTTAATTTGGTGATAGTTACAAGATAAGGTTGTGTTGATTAGTAGGTAGGAATAGCATTGAGAGTGTATAGAGGTGTAAACTTGTTCAAAGCCCAGTTAAATATGACACAAGTGCTCAGTGCTTCATTCTCCATCCCTGTTTTTGGATCATCATCAATTATGAGTTTGTGTGCGCTTTTTATGCATCGTAAGTATATAAGATTTAAATACGGCAAATAAGACTCTCACGCTTCCCTCCTTTTGGTGAGGTTGGAACCCTTAAGACGGTAACCTTTTCACTTTATTTAATACAAGTTTTTCGAATATATTTATCTCTTTTCATATGAATTCAAAATGTTAAATAATGGTAGAAACATAACCTATGTCTCTTAATTGAGGAACTACAAATTTCAAAGCATTTATCACATGGTTGAAGCATTTCCATATTTTGATTCAAATAAACCAATTTGAGAACTTTAATTTCCATGGAAGAAGGAACAAATGGTCTGGTTTCTAACCTAAAAAATTGGATGGCATTTCATAGATATCATGGCATGGTTGGTGTGGCATCCCATGAATGAATTTATAGAAAATGAACCATTTCAAATCTTTACAGTAATTCAAATCCACTTGTACAAAACACTTTAGCTAATCCGGAATCACACACCTGTAGTTGCAACGTCAACATAGGGCGGTTTATTAAATGCTAACCAGGTCACTTTTCTTACTCGATAAGAGGCATAGCTAAGCCCGACAATCTTGCCCAGTAAGAGAGGATGGTGACTCTTATCCGGTTAGTGCTTATCGGGTAAGATTATTGCCTATTGTACCATTTTGATGGCCTAGAATCTTACCTGTTAACATAAATGAGAGTAGTGACTCTTACCGGTAAGCGGTAAATGGCCCCTTAGTCTTCTCAATGTCAAACCTCATGAGTTTCAAGTTTTTTTAAAACTCTTGCATGCATTCTCAGAAATAGCATTAGTTTTCGATTGATGTGAACCAGACGCTAAATAGTATACAACACGTCTTGAATCAAATATAGTGAAAAACAATCATATACGAGTCACTATAACATGCGAATGGGCATAACTCAACTAACCATTGGCTCAGGACTGGAAGAAGACGACAATATATCTAGAAGCGAATTCTGGGGTGGAAGCTCCTCGTGCCACAGTGGAAGCTTATCACCCGGGTAAAAGTTTCGTGTCACCCCCTCTGAATTGATCTGCAAATTATTATACAATTTCAGTTCACAAAAGCTGATTACATCAACTTATTCAAAAAGCTGATCATAAAGTAAATAGTAATGTTTCAGAATCCCTTTACAACCACCCTTCGAGGTTAGCGGGGTTATGCATAACTGCATCTGGTTGCCTAGTAAGTCTGGTCTGGGTGAGGTTATGGCACACAAGAGCCAGGTGGACATCAAGGCGGGGCCTGCTAGGCTAGGCTCCCTGGTTTTTTTTTTTTTGGTAACTGTTGGTGTCCGGGTCAGCTTGTGCATACCTCGACTAATCCCATGGGCCTGAAGACAGTGGCCCTGAGGAGACTCAAATTGGTGGCCTATGGGGAGGAGCCCCAAGACCTTGCCTTTATTTGCCAGTTGAGCTGGCTCCCTGGCTTTTTAGAGCTCTCTAGGAAAGTATGGTGGCTTTTTTAGAGCTCTCTAGGAAAGTATGGTAGAAGGTATGTTATGTACCTCATCCCAATAAAGTACGAAATTAGAGAATCTTTTCTTTTTTCATTCTTGTGGGTAATAAAATACGAAAACAGTATTGATGATTGTAACTAGTTCATGAAAAACTCACAATTACTGTCCGAACAACTCCACCACTGGCTCCATCTCGAGCAATGGCAAGAGAAACAGCCTTCACCACCAATTTCTGCAGTAACACACAAATTTTCAACTTTCAGGACTTCAAAGGAAATTCATACCTGATGCTTAGCGATTAAAGAAAAATCTTGGTAAAAAATATTGGAATTAGAAACGGCCATTAGAATGGTTCATGATGTTGGCCGCTCAGTTCAATAAATCGATGTTTTTCTTGCTAAAGAGGGACATGCTAAAACATCATGAAAAAGGATTTCACAAATCGCGTATCTGATATGCTTAACACTTTTTTGTGAAAATAGATCCTTGTCTGCCACGTATAATTTATATCTTGGTATAATAATAACCTGTAATTTAATTTTAGTAGCAATGAAATCTGATCTTTAGATGCTACCATCATGCCATGAATCTAATCTCAGAATTCATAAATAGTACAATATTATGTAATACAAACCTCGGCTTCATCTTTTGTCATCCCGTCCTTCCATTCTTGATCAAAGAAACCATACAAATATGTCGAGCCAGATCCTACATACATCGAAACCATCAAAAGAGATCATGCAAGTTTCTAACGAACCTTGAAGTAATATGCTTCCTATGCTGTTAAAATCGTGATATCTCGCCGGTATATCGGATATCGGACTCTGGAAGAATATCGGTGGTGAAATATCGGTCAAAATATCGGTTCTGATAATATCGCCGATATTTCACCGATATTTTGATGGAAAAATCGGTCCGATATACCGATTTTCTATGAGTCAAATGTTTGCGCTTTTTTATTACATGTTGGGCTTAGTTTTTTGGGCCTCTTTATTTGGTCAACCAGTCAACACATATATTAGGTCTCACGCATCTTCTCTTCTCGGTTCTTCACAGTTCACGCTTCTTCTCTTCTCGGTTCTTTCACAGTTCATGCTTATTTTTGAACACTTTTCCTATTTTGTCTTATGAGACTTGTTTATGCGATGTTTTAATTTTGAAACTATATTTCTAAACTCTAATTAATGTATATGATATGTTTATGGATGCATACATATATAATTTATAAAATTCTAAGAAATATTATATTAACCGCTATTTTGGACCGATATATCATCGATATAACCGAAATATCGAATATCGGTCCTGACCAATATTTTGTATTTTGACCACAATAACAGCATAATATGCTTCAATTTTGTTAAAAACAAACTTATCAGTCTTTCTTCCTAAAATAGTAAACATAACAGGCTTCAGTTGATAGGTTGATTCAGTTATTGCTGAAACAAAACCATGACATCCTTTAGAGGCAACGAGAAAAACCAAGTGAACCAAGATTAAATAGATTTCAATCAATAAATTCAAAGCAAGAGAATCCACATAGGTAGAATGAAGACACACCTCCAATTGCAAAAGGTTGCTCTACAATTGTTCCACCAAGAGGGACTCCATATATTTTACCCCCCTCATACTTATCCCATCCACCAACAATGAGGCCAGCTTGCAGCATATTCTGCAAAGGTGACTATTATTATAACTTGTGCATTATACATATGGGAACTCTGTATTGGTCGAAAATGCAATTTCTTCAATCAAGATGAAGGATATGAAAATAATAAAGTTAAATACATTAAAAGGAGATAACTACTGTGATGGCAGAGTCTACTTTACAGAAGTAGAGGTTTGAAGAATGATTTTATTGTTTGATATATGTGGTGGACAAAACATATGATATAAAGTTTAAACCCTCTCCTAGAATAGGATATAGTTTTTTGATAGAATGATATGTTATAAAAAGATGAGGTGATAACTATTGCAGGCAATTCCCACTCTGTTTACAATGAAGCTATAGAAGATTCCCTATGTTTTTTACCAATTGCAACAGGATAAATTAGAAGAAAGATAGACTATTGGCTTTAGGCAATGAAACCACTGCAACAGTTGAATAGTTGACACAAACTCTTTCAGAATTATGTTCCTTCGCCATACAAAGCAAAAGTGTAGAAACACTATAGAGGTATATCTGGTCATGAAGAATGTACAGAAATCAAAGGATACATTACAGCTGAGCTACTGACCAACTATGCATGTCTTTATCGTGGTAGTCTAGCAGCCAATACATATCGCATCAGTGCTAAGTTTCAATAAGAAATTTTGGGAGCAAATCCATTTAAAAAAGTGTGGACGCTTTACTTGAGAGCCCAAGTGAATCTGTCATCTTGTCAACTTTGAAGTCAAAGAATAACCCATTTGCAATCTAAATGTTAGATGATGGATTTTCTTCTTTTGGATGGAGGCAGAAATGTGAAAGTTACAAAAAGGATAAAGCATATTATTGCAAAGAATCAGCTATAAGATCCAAGCCTAAATTTAAATAGTAACAATTCACTGAAGGACCAGTCTTTAATGACGGGGATAGCAAAAGGTATACATTTGAAATTGAAAGATACTATTACCAGGAAAATATGTTTTTGTATCTTGAGATAACTTGTATTAATGTGGTATAAAAAGGAATTAGTATTCTAATAATTTAGGTTAGATAGAGCTTTAGGAGATTGAGTATCGTTAATTTTATTTCATTAGTAGCATTAGCATTTAATTTGCAACATATTACGTTTCAACGATCTATAAATCTATGCCCAGGATAAATTGCCTTATGACAAAAGAGAAATATTGATTACGCTTCAGCATCCCCGCACCACCAAGAACTCAACTCAACAAAAGGCTAAAAGAAGGGATATAAAAAACTTACGAAGAACATTTCTCTCTTAATTTAATCATCTCAAATGAGGGATTGGAAGCCTATTTCTTGCACTCTAAAGTCTGCTAAATGAAAAGACACAACCATTCATTTTTCTGTTAGGTGTCAGCACACTTGACACAAGTTCACTTGGAACTAATTTTTTCAATAGCTAGCCCACCATAATCATAAAAATTAATGGCCAAGTACCATACTCATGTATACAACTTCTATTTTCATCGTTAATCTTTGTGTGCATAAAATAAATGGTGAAGTACCATGTGCATATGGTATTCTTTCTGATTAGTCTTCCTTTCTTATATGTCTCTGTATATAATACCAAAAGAAAATATAAGCTTATTTCAGGTGTTTTACAAGTGGAAGACTCTAGGGAGCTAGATGAAGAGTAATAAAACCACTTCGGTTTAAGAAGCTCAGCAAACTCTTGAAATAGCGTAAGCTGCTTTGAGAAAAGCTGAAGGAAAGAGACAAACAATTGAGGCAAATCTAGCTCTCCGACGGGCTAGGACACGAGTAGAGGCTATCAATGCGACAATTAATGAAGAAAAGATATATTAGTTCTTTAATAGGATGTGAGACAGGGAGAGATTGTCGGAGACAAGGAAAACAAACACTTTTTGCCGTCAATTCTGCTTTCACAACTTGCTCATATGCTAATATCTTAAGTAGCCATATAAATCTATAATTATATGACATTTGACATATGCATCAACATTTGGACTGGAAAGATCACTAGATCAGTATAATAAATAATCAGAAATCAACTAACGAAATAGCATCAAAACATAAACAATGCAATAAATTGGATAATCCCTATGTTAGGTAGAAGTTTTATCAAATACAAACCTTGTTGTTGTATGATAACAGTCTGATAAGGTTGGCAGCAACTTTGACAGTTGCAGGCTGGCCAAGTTGTATCCTGCACCAAACAGAATAATCTTTTGATATGTTTGCAACAGAGGATAGAAATATTTGTACCAGTTAAAAATTAAGCATGAAAACAGGTGTCTGACAACAATGGTGAAGAATAACTGGGAGTGGTTGACAATTTCTATTACATACCTTTTGTCAGTTTATTACATTTATTACTACAAGGAGAGTTACAAAGATGCATATGTCTGGTTTTCATGATTCTATTTGTTTCCAAGTAATGCATATCCCTATGGTCTCCCCTAATATTCCTAAAGGAAAATGGATCAAATGGGCTCCTCCTCCTTTWGGTATTTTGAAGTTGAACACAGATGGTTCTTCAAGGAATGGCATGGCAGCAGGTGGTGGCATTATTAGGGACTATAAGGGCTCCGCTTTGGTTCTTTTTCTACCTTTTATGGCACAGGTACCAACACATTTGCAGAAGCTCCTACTCATTTTGGTTGGTCCGACTAGGATGACACACTAGTCTAACAAAGTTTTGTATTCCCTAAATTTCATGGATTAGAAGATATAGTTAACCGAAAAAAGTTTTACAAGTTAAAGTTATGAAATATACATATTGTGGACAAAGTAATATTGCTTATCAACAAGAGCTCAAGGTTTCTTACGTGTGTTGATGTAGAAAGTGGCGGACATAATCAGAAACAAGTTGCGAATCTGCAGCCTGAAAATGTGACAATCATTTTATGAATAACTCGAAAAAGAAGAGTATAGATCATGGGTATTTGGAATATTAACTCAAATCGATCATTGGGATCATCAACTAACTTGGTTGAGTCCACCACCTCTTAGCTATCATATTTCTGGCACAATCACCTAACGAAACTAAGCTTTATAATGATGTTGACAACCCTGAGTATTCAAGTTACAGATACTTTTGTCTTGGCCAAGGAATGAGCATCACAACAAGGTGTGGTACTGTTACACAAATAATAACCATGCTATGGAATTGTTAAAGGGTAAATGGCCAATGGCCAATGTAATGAAACAAAGTTGTTTTGAGTGCCATGAGGTACAGGACAAGTGTTAATAATGCTGGCACCAAAATCATGATATAAAAAATTATTACTATTGGGTAACAGGTTGAGATGGATCCACTTGAAGAGAAACCATGCGTATCATCTTTTGAGATGGTTAGGTGTCCCCTGTGTGACTTTTGCATACTGGTGAGGAAGGGATGCTTGTAACTAGAGAAAAGCGTTTGGAGTGGTAGGGATAAGTGAAGATAACATATGGAGTAACTGAGTAAGTAGTCAAGTGAGATTCAGAAACTACAAAGATATTTAATGAAATGGTTTCCGATAAGAGAGAAGGACACTAGTCATGTTTGCCTTGGATGTTTCACCTCTTTATTGAATTATGTTGGGTTTCATTTTAGCCTTCCACAACCAAGTAACAGGGCTTGTGCTTGTTGTCATTGGGGTGCTATCTATGAATTATTGGCTAATGTATGAGCACTAAATTTCTTGAACTCCCTGAGCCCTAAACAATCTCCTTTAACAAGTAATGGAGAGCATAATAGGTTTAAGGCAAAAGGGATATGTATCAAATTAGTAAGGAGTAAAACAAAAGCATCTCTTCAGTTCTAATGCTCGTATATAAAAGTTCAAATGTCTAAAAACCAAACTAGCATGAAACCAACCAATCAATTTCATAACCCTCAATTTGTAGAAACAATTTGCTAGTCCCTGTAAACTGAGCTAAGAGGTACAGCTAAATTTTATGCTCAACAACAGTCAACTGACAGAAGAATTTTAGTCCCAGTAAACTGAGCTGAGAGGTACAGCTAAATTGTAGAAACAATTTGCTAGTCCCAGTATATGGAGGCATGCAAATGTGTAAATACAATTCATGCTTTTCATAAGAATTTTTTCTAGGTATAGTCTATGATATGATAACAGCTAAATCAAAATGAATTATTGGGCACTCACATAATGGTCATACTAGAAGGATAATTAAGGCAGACTAAAGTAAAATTCATCTTAGAATTTATGAAGGGAACCAGTTACATATTAGAGAACAGACACTCCAGTTCCTACTCCCTAGGATGGTAGGACTTTCAACTGAAGAAGAAAGAAGAAAATACGCATATATTGCAAGGTCAAAAGAGATTATTACAATTAAAAAAAAATGGTTCGTAATTAGTTTCAGACAAACATTTTCTATTTGTAGTGATGCTATAAATACTCCTCAAATATTTCTGTAGGATCGAAAGGAGTCAATAGTGTCTCAAATTGTGAATGTTTTGGGTTTTCGGAATGACATCTACTTACAAGAGAAGTTAATTTTCCAAAAATAGCTCTCTGATATTCCATCCTGAAATTTTAGGACCTCTGCTGTGGAATAAAATAACTATTTTTCAAAATTTACAGTAAGATGAACATGGTGTTCCTAAATTAGCAAATCATTTAAAGATTGAATAAAACAATATGTGTACACTTGATCATGTGCATGATTGTCTGGAAATGTCTTCACTTTTTCTAACCCAATGGTCTCAAGTTACCGCTCTTAATCACTAATCTTTGCAAAATTAACGGAAAAGAAGGAATGCACAGTTTAAAATTCTTGGGGTATTGTCAATCACAAAAACTACGCATACTATCGACCAGAAAACACATATACAAAAAGGAGAGAAGATTCAACCGATCCAGAGCGGCACAGGTAAACATTATCCGTCAGCTGAGTGATCTTGTCCGACGCTCTATTTGCCACGTATAATCCTGTTCAAATTAAAATCCCAACAAATAACTCGAGATATCAACAAATCTCCAAACCAAATACGAAACTGAGAAAAAACAAAAAACGTAGTTTTTTATCCATCGAATTCAAGCGTTGTACTGCTGAGATCATAATCCGATTATAAATAAGTTGCATTGATGTAAATTTTACCAGTTTCATACAAAATCAAAATGTAGCTCTAATTTCTGAAGTGATGGACCAACAAAAATGTTAAAAGTTTTGAAAGATATCAAAGAAAACTTTTAAACACGATCTTCGAGGGTTCATATCAATTGTTTTAGAGTAAGAACAGAACAAATAAGAATGATACCGGTGCTGGTACGAGAATCAGCTCCGAGGATAACGCCGCCGTCATATGTGACACCTATAATGGTGGTTCCCATTGAATGTGGAGAATTCAGATCCTTCATAATCGAATCCATTCCTTCAGAAAATCTGTAATTGATCAAACAATCGAAGAAGAAGAAAGAAATTGAGAGAGTTTTCTTGCACAAAAAGAAGGCAAGATTCTTTATTTACAAAATAAGTCCCTCAACTATTAGATATGGCAAAATAAGCACCAAGGTAAGCATTTGTTTGTTAGGATGCATTCATTATATTTACTCCGATACCATTTTTAACACGATTTTTTAAATATAACTTAAGCTTTAAAAATTATCTAAAAATTATTCTTCATTACAAAGATTTCTTATCAAATTTTTTAAGTGACGTCTTATCATAAAAAAACTATATTTTAATTAAATAAAACAAAAATATTATTAACTATTATTTACTATATCTTAATAACAAATAATTTATTAATTAAATAATTATAATCTATACTATATTATAAAACATTTGACAGAAACTCTTAAAAACCATTTTTTATGCATGAAGTACTATTTATTGATGTATACTACTTAAAAATTCAAGATTGTAAGTAATTGTGCATAAGTACAACTTATTAAAGCTCTATGTTTGAATTTATGTAACTAACTGCGGATAAACATAATCAAATAGATGATAAACATCTTATTTTAAAATATAAAAAATCTAAAATATAATTAGGATGATTATTGAGTTCTAACTGAATACTTAATTATTATATTTATAAAAAAATATTATTAAACCTAAATTAAGTTAAATAAAATTATAATAAAAAATTTGAATTAAAAAAATATACAAACAAGAACTTTTAAATAGTTAATTTGATACTAATATTAATATATTTTTTTACAAATTTTATATGATATTTTCAAATTTATATTTTATTAAAAAATAAAAACGTTATCGCTTTCTCAAAACCACGTAAAATCGTATTTATATCGACATGGATAAAAAATAAATCGAAACATTGAAATGGAAATGTGTCTCGATGCATTGCACGAGTACCCTTCTAGTATTAAATTAAAAGGTATACCATAATGACGTAGTTTTGGATGTCATCAACCACATTAGTTCTATAGAGCAGCTACTAATATTTTCATTTTAAAAACAAGAATATGTCATTTGAGTCGAAAGTTGAATACTGAACAAGGGTTTTGTTTCTTGTAATCGGTTTGTCCACAATCGTCTGACCTCTATGATCATAATGCACGTCTCCCTTCATAACTCAACCCTTAATGACCCAATCATTTGTGTTGCCTTCCCCCTCGCTGTTAAAACCTCCAAAATATAGTCTCCAATACAAAAATAAAATCTTTCAATAATGAATTTAAATATATCCCAAATAAATAAATAAACATCTCGTAACAAACACTTAAAAGTACCTTCCAACAACTCAAGGAAATCCAAAAACAATCTTAAAAGAAATGCTAGTCTAATAGCCAATGAAATAAATCCAATAAATGAATAACATAGCACTAAACCTCTTGAAACCTTTGAAATCGAGATCCCGGTCTACTCTCCGTCACAAGACTTAGTCACCCCCTTGATTACCTGCCGTGAGGAACAGAAGAAAACACGGCTGAGTCAAATGCTCAGTGAACGGATAAACAATTATAGTAAAATGGTAATACAAACACGCAAAAATTGATCAAGATATCGGACAAAACAAGTACTAAAATCTTAGTAAAATCAACAAATAACATAATCATACGAAAGCATATGAAGGGAAAAATCGAGCTCGAAAAATGCACACACTTGCATACTAACCAACAGGACAAAGTGTCAGACATATGGTCACACAGACTTATATGTTGAACTGCAGATCCACACGTACTAGATGTGAGATGTGGCGTTGGACACTACACCGACATCCACCGTATAAACGAATCACATGTGCTAGAGCTGACCCGCTCTCTAAATTTAATATCCATCACACCATATAGCTCTCACAAAATCACAAAAGAGGAGACGTCGTGGACTGATCACACTGCCATGGTTAGTGTCACGTCATCGGTGCCACAATGGCGTGCCTATGGTACCCCCATATAGTAGCTCGACTTACCCGGAGTAACTTGTCACAATAAATGTGACGTCATATAGTCTCAATTAAGAGTAAGAGCAAAACGTATCGACATCGAATGAAAGATCAACATAAGCAATGTAAAAAAAACGTTGAATGAACAAGTAGTTGTAACAATTTAGAGACTCAAATCGAATGGTACATAATCGATCACATCTACCAACATACGTACATTTAGAGGTAAAAATTATACCAAACAATTAAACGTAATCTTGTGGAGAAAACACATATTTGTACTAAGTCGAATAACTCAAATAGCATGATTAGGACAACTCGTCCTTGCTATATATATATATATATATATATATATATATCTATATATACATATATAACATAGAACAAATACGAGTGAACGGAAGATGCGGTAACGAACAATTTGGAATTGTCATGAGTTAAACAAGAGCTTTAGGGTTTGCAAAAAAGAATATGTAAAAGAATCAAATAAATGAAAAGGGTTAGGAATCCGTCCCTTAAACTGCACCAAGATTATCAATTTCCAAGTCTACTCCTTTATACCCGACCTAAACAAACACTCAAACTCACTATTAATTCTAACCGTTAACTTTGATCATGAAAGACACTCAACAATATCTAATATTTAAAAACCCAACCAAAACCTATAAATTTTATCTGTTAAAAATGGGAATTAGATAATTAAAATAAAAAGGAACTTTTGAAAAGCTTCAAAACATAAAAACAATGACCTATGGCTTCAAGAAACAAACCTATGCGCATGAATGTATATATATGTCTATATATATATATATATATATATATATATATATATATATACATATGGATCTATAACCGTAAGACACGCAACAAATATATTCATCACAATTTAGATTCTATTTGGGGCAGCCCCTCCCACGCAGACCAACAGTCAAAATGGGAAGGAAAAAAAACACGCTCTCTCGAACAACCATTTACACAGCAACGATCTCGACTAAAAGGCGAGTCCTTTTGATTCGTTTCTTTTGGGCGATTGACGTCTCTCTTATCAATAAAATGACAACAGTTATAACTACTAACAATAAACAATTTTTAGGACTAAATTCGAGAGGGAATTGAGTAGAATTTTGGGGCTCCATACAGTTTAATGAACCCCCACGTTGTTGCCATTATTATCGATTGAATCACTGACTGAAACGACTCCGATTCTACCCCAAATAAACCCAAAATTCATTACCCAACCATTAATCGCATGAGTTCGAGACTGAGATAGAACTTACCTCAAATTAATGAATGGTCATCCCTCAAACCGTTGCTCCTTTTCTCTCTTGTCCTTCAATCGGTTTCTCCCAACTCCACGGTTTTTGCTCTGACAAATTAGACAGTGCCAAAGAGGCTAGAGTTAAACAAAATAAACTTAATCTACATACATCACCTCATCCCTCCATTCTAATTGTAAAGTTTAAGTGGGTTATGCAAAACTAACCCCTCAAGATTGGTCAACTTCCTAAACTAACCCAAAATTCAATTTTTATTTATATTTCCCTCAAATATTTTACACTCACGTACAACAACTTGTTGATTCCATTTAGCCCATTTTTTAAGACTTGCACTGATGTATGTATGTACGTATGTATGTACGTATGTATGTACGTATGTACGTATGTATGTATGTATGTATTATACCAACCAAATAGTAAAAATTAGAGTGCAAAATTTAAAAATGAAACCAAGTATGATGATTTGGCAACATGAGGTTTAAGTGTTCCTCAAATCTTGAATAAGGTTGACTTTCATCATCTCATATTGATGGAACGATGATAGTTTGGAAAAAGATGATGGATGTATAAAAGCATGATGGATGCTTGGAAATCTATAACAATAGTTAAAATCAAAACCAAACAATTGGTAGAATCACAATGCAAAACACACAATTAAAATAGCATGCAAAACACAGTTAAACACAAACTATTCATTTTACAAAATATCAATCACCACATTGGTTGAAAGATGATAGTTTGGAGGAAGATGAATGTTATATACTCGAGTGATGGATGTTTTGAAATCTATAACCATGGCTGGAATCAAAACTATGGTATATTATAGTGCAAAATCTAGGGGTGTTGAGGTGACAACATGAGCATTCTCGAATTGTGTTTTAAGATATAAGACTTTTTTTACCAAGGGTCTTTCAAGTTTATTCTTATTCTTTCTCATCTACCGATGACCAAATTGACATCCTTATTATTTCTGATATATTTGTTAATTTTTGTATATGCGTTAATACATTATATATCCAGTCACGCATACATAGTTCCACCTGTTCTTTTTCAAAGAGTAGTTAAGTTTATCATACAAGTTACACCAGGTATTAGTTCAGTTGCTTTGCTGTTCATCATACAAGTTACAGCAGTTATTAGTTGTAATGTTGCTACCATTATTTTCATATTGAGATTTTCAAAAAGTTTATTTTCAGGTTTAAAGAGAACCAATATGAAGATCAATTTGGCTATAAATCATGGTGGCATGTTCCAAACAAATCCATTTTATTATGGAGGTAAAGTTGTATATCTGAAAGATTTTGATTAAGTAACATAGGTATTAGAAGCCTAAGACAACGCGTTGAAGATTTTACTTCATCTGAAGTTAGTCGAATGTACTATATGGTTCATAACACAGATTTGGAAAAAGCATTGAAACCCCTTGATAGTGATGCAGATGTTAAAAGGTTTTTTAGTTATGGTATGTTCTCGGCACAATTGGAAATTTAGATAGATCCTTTTAATATTGATATTAGTGAGTTCTTGAATAGTAATTATGATGATATCATTGAAGAGGATTATGTTGTCGACAGTGATGATGAGATTAGTTTTTCCGATGTTGATGATGACGAGGTTGCTAGTGTAGATCATTTATCGGAAGGGGATGATGAGATTAGATAGGTTAGAATGAGAAAAATCAATAGGGAAGTGGAAGATGTGAATGTTAAACATGCAATACATTCTTGTAATGCAAATGTTCGAGTCCCTATAGATGATAACATGGAAAGAGATAATGAGATACAACCACAACCATATCAACATGATGGTTTTTTGACAGAATTGTGTGATGAGTATAACAGGGATAGGTTTGTTGAAGACGTCGTTAATTTCGAAAACGAAAATGAAATGGTTGAAGACGATGAGGCAAAAACTAATGAACTTCCAATTCACAATTTGAATGTTCCTTGGAACTTACTGAAGCCTCAAGTTGGTGAACGATATACATCAACCTTCGAGTTAAAGAATTGCTTGACAAATTATGCGCTTTCAAATGGCCTTCAACTTAGGTATGCTATTTATCTTATTTACTTACATACACACACTTATTATGTAATTACGAACGTTTTTCTGACATATTGTTATCACTGAAGGTATCTAAAAAACAACAAAGACAAGTTACATGTTGTGTGTGGACCGCCTAAAAAAGGATATGAAAGTAGATGTCCATGGAGATTGTGAGCATCTTGGATGAACGATGAAAAATCATTCCAAGTGAAGTCACTAAATGATGAGCACAAGTGTGGGATAAATTACATGTTAGATTCACTTGTGATTCCAATTGGATTGCTAAACAATATGAGATGAAGATTAGACAGAACCCATCAATCAAGTTAGTTGATTTGAAGGAATCCATTCTAAAAAAATACAAGTGCATTGTTCAATTGAGCCAATGCCAAAGGACTAAGGCCAAGGCATTGGGGGAAGTAGAAACGGCTCTAATTGAGCATTACGGAGAGTGATGGGATTATGGTGAGGAGATTAGAAGGAGTAACCAGGATCAACGGTTAAAATTAGTGTCGAGGTAGGACCAAATATTAGAAATTATTTTCAAAGATTATATGTGTGTTTTAAGGGTATCAAAGAAGGTTGGTTGTCAGGGTGTAGGGGATTCATTGGCTTGGATGGATGTTTTCTAAAAACCGTACACGAGGGATAGTTGTTAAGTGCGATAGAGAAAGATGGTAACAACCAAATATATCCTCTTGCATGGGCCGTGGAGGAGGTTGAAAATAAAGACAGTTGGAAGTGGTTTTTAAATTTTCTAATGAAGGACATTGGATTAACCGATGGGTTAGGAGTAACATTGATGTCAGATCAACATAAGATAATAGTATATAATAACTAACTGCACACACTTGCTAATCTATTATGAATGTGATCATCTAATTAGTTAATTGCATTATGCTAATACAAGGACTTGTTGAAATTGTTAAAGAGGTATTCTCACTTGCTGAGTATCGTTAATGTGCTAGACACATATACACCAATTTCATGAAGAAGTACACTGACATCCAATTCAGATATTTGTTTTGGGTTGCATCCAAGTCAGGGCACCACAAGAATTTGAAGGAATTATGCAAGAAATTAAAAGTTTGTCTCCCCATGCTTATGAACATTTGATGGAAAGACAACCGTCAACATGGTTCAGGGCTTTCTTCAAGATCGACACATCATGTGATGCTGTAAAAAAGGAGCAAGTGAGTGTTTTAACTCTTTGATTGTCTCATCTAGGAGAAAACCTATAATAACAATGCTCGAGGAGATTAGAGCTCTTGTGATGGAAATAATGGTTAGGATGAGCAACAAAACATGCAACAAGTATGATGAAATCTGTCCAAATATAAGAAAGAAAGTTGAGCAAAATAACGCGCTAATGCGGTATGTTTATGATTATTATGCTTTATGCATATAAGGTAATTTGTTTCATAAATATTACATTATGGTTTGCTAATATTTTTTGCAGGTTTTGGCGTGTTGCTCCCAATGGAGGGAATCTTTTTGAAGTAAGACAAGGACTAGAGGGTTTTGTTGTCGATACTCAATGTAGAACATGCACTTGCAGAAGTTAGCAAGTTTATGGAATTCCTTGTCCACATGCTGTTGCAACCATATACTTCATTCACCAAGATCTAGCTAAGTTTGTGTCTCCTTTGTTCTAAAAAATAAAGTTCATCAGTACATATAATCATAGGATCAACCCTTTGAATGAGATCAAACTTTGGCCAAAGACAGATTTTGCCAAACTTTTGCCCCCAAAGTCTAGACGCATGCCTGACAAGCCTATAATAGCCAAAAGGAAAGATGCAAGTGAAGGAAGTAGTCACACTAGAAGAAATGCATACGGCCATGAAGTTGTAGCCAAATCGGGGGGAAAGATGACTTGCAGAAATTGTTTGGAGGTAGGACATAATTCTAGGAGTCGTAAAAATAAAAAGAAAGATGCACCGATTCAGCCAAAAAATCCAGTTGGTAGATAGAGAAAAAACAACATAGAAGAGGAAGATTTAGTTATTGGAAACAATATAAGAGGAAGGGGTTCACAGGATACGATTATAGGAGTAAGTATAATAATTGTGATTCACTGTTTTTAAATGAATAAAATATTGTAGCTAAAAGTACGTTTATTTTGAAGGTTTCACAGGTTAGTTTTGAGGCGAATATATCAATTACTACTGGAGAAGGTATTTTCAATATGTATAATCACACTTTGTTTGCATATTTGCATATAACTTATATAGTTGTACTAACTTGCATATGTTTACATAAGGCAAGTTGATATAACTTAGTTATTTTTTTTATAATTATTTTGCAATTTTAAATATGACGTGGATATTAGTTTTAAAATAAAAAATTAATATGGCATGAAATATCTTAATTGGCAAAAGATCTGGATGATGTCAGCATTAACAGGTCAACCAGAGCCTTAAATAAACAAAAAAAATTGATAGAGATATTTAAATGACGATTTTAAAAGTTAGTTCCCTAAAATAAGAATCAGATGAAAGTTGGTTCTATTTGGGTGTAATTTTTTCTTAAATAAAAACTAACTTAAAATTTAAGAGTCTATTTACAAGCTTAATTAAAAATAATTTTATTTTATTTCATTAATCTTTTAAGTGGGTGTTTATGATTGATTATTTGAAACAACTTATACTCCTTTATACAAGTCTTTATCAACTTATTATAAGTTAGGATGATTTAATTTTTTCTTAAAAACTTCTTATTACCGAATAACACTCCAAAGTACTTATTTTCAGTGTTATACTAAAACAAGTCAATAAATTATTTTTATAAACAATTCCGAACAGTCTTTGAATCAAATGTTTTTAAGGTTGAAATGGAATAATTCAATGGGGTTCGTAATATGGGTAGTATCCCCTTTGACCCTTGCCATGGTACCATTTCATTAGCTTTTTGTTGCAAATATTGAAAAGGGATTTGCAGAAATTTTACTACCATATCATCTTCCAGTAAAAGTTCCAATCTTTTTCGGTCTAGGGTTTTCAACTCATCGCCTTTGAATTTGCACATATTTATCCAGATCAAATTCAATACTTTTATTTCGATTCTTTTAGATTAGGTTAATTTCCTCTGATCTTATGTTTCTGCGTCCATGCACGAGCAATTTATTGGCTTTAGGTAGCCGAGCCTGAGCTGTATTCAAGTTTGTTGATCGTTCAATTTTGGGGGAGACGTATTTATTTATTGTTGTAATGTGGAGCTTGGTTTCAAAGTAATTGTTTGATCTTAGCCTTTTCATGTTCTTTTTATAGATTATTAAGTTGTTGTTTCATTGGGTAGAAATTAGAAAGTTAATCAATTTGATAGATAGTAGCCAAGTGAATGTATACTTCAGGAATGGATTATGACCGAGAAATTGGTGGTGGTGCCACTGCTGCTGGTGCAGGCACAATGCTAATACCAACAAGGTTTGTGTGGCCTTATGGGGGAAGAAGTGTATATTTAAGTGGTTCTTTTTCAGGGTAAGATTTTAATAACTTCTCCTTTTCTTAAGATGGGTGATAAGTTAAATGATAAAGAGAACTGAACCTTGTTTACTTAATGGCAATGCCATTTTGTGAAGGTGGTCTGAACAGTGGCAGATGACCCCAGTTGAGGGTTGCCCTACTGTGTTTCAGATGATATGCAGTTTACCACCTGGTTACCATCAGGTTAGTTATTAACAAGTTCCATTTCATATATCAATATACTTATGGAAGCTGAAATATGTCTGCATTAATGGTCTGCAAATATATAGATGGCATTGAAGTAATAATCAATGCTATTCATTAATCCATGGTGCTGGTTATTTATTTCCACAGAAGTATATAGATCCCATTCTGAGTTGCTTATTGCCTGTTAATGATACTATGGGCCTACAGGTCTAGACACACTCATGTATGTGAATACTAGTAGTTAATCAATTATAGAACTATGTAAATGTGCATTTTTTATTTCTCATTGATTCTTGTAGAAACAATGATAATAGGAGCGTGCTTATAATATTATGCAACATTAGTTTTAGTAATTGTTAATGTTCCCAATCACCTTTTATTAGTAGTATATATTGATTTTTCATTACTAGTTCATTGCATTAATAGACATGGCATGTTCATAAGCTTACAGATCAACGTAATTGAGAATAAGGTCAAGTTTTATGATGTTGAAATAGGTATTCTTGAAATTCTAGATGATGCCTATGTGCCACTTGAGGACCCTTTTGAGAGGTTGTGGTCTGGTTGATCCTTTGATTTTTGCTTGAATGAATCCACTTTTTCACTATGTTTACCCACACATATTTGTACAAAAAATACCAATGAAGAATCTTCAAGGCTACTGTAGCTCTTCTCATGCTACTAGCATATACATCACACATCAGTGACACTAAACGTGCTACTTAACAAAAGATGGGTAATTGAAGAAACTAATATAGTTGAAAATTCTGGTGGAATTTACATAAGATTGAGATTATGTTTGAATTTAAATAAATAAAGTTGTATGTTGGTTCATTCTCAACCTACTCTTTCTGTTTGTTGGCTTGTTGCATTCTTATTCCTTGAATGAAGACTTGTGCTTCTTTTTGGTCTCTAATTCTGTTTGTCTTCAATAAGCTGTTAGAATATCCATGTTAGTCTCGCATGCCTGTGTTTTCTGAATTCAGTATTATAAATGACAGACAACTCTGTGCACAAAGAGCTTTTATTAGTTGCAATCATAATCTAATTGAAGCCCACGTCCATAAGCAACATCAGTCCAAACCTATATTCAACATTAGTTCATTGGTAGATTTTATTTGAAATTGACAAAAGGGTGTTGAATTACAGGGTCAAGCTTCTTGATGTCCAAGGAACATTTTGTAAAGAATTTGTAAATGTTAAAGTTTTTTTGTGTGTGAACAAAATCAACTTCTCTATCGTCACTTGCATTTTTCTATACATTGCAGTACAAATTTATTGTTGACGGCGAGTGGCGGCATGATGAGCACCAACCTTTTGTAACTGGTAGTTACGGTACTGTTAATACTGTTGTATTAGCTAGGGAGCCAGATTATATTCCTACAGTCCTGAGTCCGCAGATGACTTGTGGTTCAAGCATGGATGTGGACAATGAGGCCTTTCAGCGTGTGGTATTGGACTTGCTATTAAGTTATTGTTTTCAAATAGTGTCTGAAGCCTTTGTCTCTGCTTTTATTTTCTTTCTAATAAATTCCAACATTTTTCATATGTGAAATCCTTCGTGCCTTTTATTGTGCTGATTCCTGGTTTTTTGCAACATCAGCCAAAGTTTAAGGTGATAGTAACTAGTGGTTGGAAATGTTTATAGTTATGGCATGCTTTATAAACTGAAAAAAATTGTGCTCAACTGCTCATGAACCATTGCATGCAATTATGCAAACATGACAATTCTGATGTTACCCAAATCCTCTTGTTGGTCATCTTCATTAAGGCAAACTAGTAGTGACTATTTCCAACCTGTTAGGAATATAGATGATCAAACTCAAACTTATGAACTCTACCTGTATCCATAATTGGCAAACTAGGAGTTGCTTCTTAATGTGTCATTTAGGAGTTATTAGGGTAGCACACCATGTGGTGGTTGAACCTTAAACCAAACACAGGGACAACTACAAGTTCTTTAGCCTGATGTTAATTACTTAATTTCATAGTTTTAGATGGAAAAGGTTGGATCAGAGATTTTTTTGGGGGGGTGGGGGAAGATGAAGGATACAAAGTCGAGGAAACAAAGAGAGGCAGAAGAGATGCGATGTTTATTGTTTAATACAGAGGAAAGAGGGATATGTTTGCTTGGATCTATGATAGATAAAGAGAGAGGAATTGACGTGTATAAAGAAGAGGGACAAAAAATTGAAAGCGAACCTACACGCCACAAGGGGATTCTGTGGAACTCTCGATGAAAGAGAGAGAAAGAATGAAAGTATGTAGCTATATCAAGAAGCCTTTCAAGGAACTGAGTTAGCTTAACTTCATGCTATCTAGTGGGCTCCTGATTCCTGCTTCTGTATTTACTTTTCGAGTTGCTACTGCATGTATGTTCTCCTTGTCAAGTATTGTTTCTGCAATAACTCCAAAGCCCCTCCCTTCTGGAAATTTGTTGCAGGTGAGGGTCTCAGATGGTATATTACATGAGCCATTGCCAAAGATATTAGAAGCAGACCTGGAGGTATCCCGTCACCGGATTTCTGCATTCCTGTCTACACACATGGCTTATGAGGTCCTTCCTGATTCGGGCAAGGTCAAATGATTTATCCCTTCTCTTCTACTTCTAGAATGCAGTTGGAAGTTTATATCAGTTTGTTTCGTATATTCTTTTCTCTCACCTTTTCTTGTTTTTTCTTCCTCTCAGGTCATTGCCTTAGATGTCGATTTACCTGTAAAGCAAGCATTTCATATTCTTTATGAGCAGGTACATCCATTGCAACTCTTGATAGATTGTCAATCAATTTTGTTGCACCTGTCAGTTGCATCTTAGTAATTGTTTTAAACCAAATGGTTGACTTACCTGCTTATGGCTTTGAGGGCCGAATTTGCTTTGCTAGGTTAGTTTTTGAGATGCATGGATCTTGCTAGCATTTGGTTCTGGAAAGAGAATGTGTTGACAGAGATATATTGTTGTGTACTTTTTGAGTTCTAGGATTTTTTTTATGTGCCCGCTCTACTGTATACTTGGGATCTTTCTGTAGGAAGTACATTCTCGTACTTTCTTAAACTAAATGTTGGACTTACCTGCTACTGACTTTGAAGACATCTTTGCTTAGTCAAAATAAATAGTTTTTAGAAGTGGCAGATTATGATTTAGGGGGTTTTTGGTTAGAGGTATTAAGCAGTAATCAATGGGAATGAAAATAAAAGAAACTGTTTGGTTTTCTATAATAAAATGGACTCATTCCTCCAAAAGCCCAAAATTTTGTTCCTGGTTAAACTGGGGGGAATGAAAATTCATTCCCATTTTCATTTCCTTTCATTTTCATTTTCATTCCCATTTTCATTTCCTTTCATTTCATTCCCATTTTCATTCCTCAGCCTGAGCCAAACAAATGATGCACGGTTGTTAGCATGTTGGTTCTGAAACAGGGTTCATAGTTTTTTTCGAGGAGTTTGTTGGTTAAGAAGATACGTTCTTCATGTTCCCAGGTCATGATCATGACTTCAAAATGTTCTATGTCAACTACAGGCTCTGATAATGTCGTCTTGAAAATATCCACTCTGTATATATTAGTTGTACTTTGATTTCGAATCTCAAACTTGTATTTACCAAAATTATAGTTACTATTTGTGCTTCTGACACCAATCTTTTTGTGTTTACAATAATTAATTGCACCTTTTGATGTTATTGGTATTTGGAAAGATGTCATATCATAAAATTGGAAGTAGTCAGTTTGGCATTCCAAGTTAATGTAAGACAATTAGTAGAGAACTTAGGACTACTGGAGATTGGCATCTTTTTTTGTTTAAAGGTCCGATGAACACTTCCACCTATCTCTTCTACTTATCAAATACCATCTCAATTTATGATTCTGCATGCTTTTCTATGATTATTATGCTTTCATATGCAACTCTTTTGGATTGATCTATTTCAGGGGATCACTATAGCTCCTCTTTGGGATTTCTGCAAGGGGCAGTTTGTTGGAGTTCTAAGTGCGTTGGATTTTATTTTAATCATGCGGGAGGTAAATTCAAGTTGAATTCAATTAACAATATTCATGTTAATTGTTATAGGTTTTTTCATATTAACTTCAATCAAAAAGAACTTGTTGACTTGTATATCTCCTTGCCTCACTTCCACTATTACTTTTGTTTTGACTTGGTGATGCAAGTAATTCAAGAGCAAGGAGCACAACAGTTACATTGTTTTTCTCAACTTGTATACACATACACACACGTGTATAGATATATTATGATTTAGTAATTTGCAAATGTGCATGCTTGTAGGAGTCTAGTAAGTTCATAAAATGGGGTAAATATTGCCTAGGATATGCAGCTGAAAAAAAAACTGAGACTTGTGTTGTTTACCCATATTTATTTTCTTGTAATTTCATTTCATTTTGGTATAAGAAACATTAAGTTTTCTTGCACGCTTTTTGGTGTTTGATGATGCTTCAAACTGAAGACAAAGTATATCTGCTATTGTATATATATATATATATATATATATATATATATATATTAGCATTTAATATTTTAGACCAACAGCAAATCCTTTATTGCAGAGTAGTGCTATAATTGGGCTCATCCGAGTTAAGGAATTACTTTAGGCATCTAGTGTCAGTTCAAAATTTGCTTGGCAGTGTATTTCGTCACCTACTCTTTCTTGAAAGAATTCTCTGGTAAAGGACAAGTTACTTTGTAGTATATCGGAACATATAATCATCGATTTCTTGATGAATATTGAATATAGTGTTGATGATTTTTCAGTTTATACTTGGCTGATTGTTTGATTTAATTCCTTTGCAGCTTGGTAGTCAAGCATCCAATCTGACGGAGGAAGAACTTGAAACACATACTATTTCAGCCTGGAAAGAAGCAAAGTTGTATCTGAGTAAACAAACTAATGAGCGTGGGAAAGCATTTTCAAAAAGGCTAGTCCAGGTGAGCATTTCTTTCATATGTTTAGGTCCTTGGTTTTTAGGTGGGAGCTCTAAATCACCATGTGCATTTAAATTTGATACCCTCATGAAGCAACTGAGTGGCAAATAGGGAGCCTTTGCTACACTTTTAGAGTGGAATTGCCTCATGAACTCAAAAGAATGTGCATTTGAATGAAATAATTGTTTTAAGTCCAATATCTTGTACAGTGCATAAGGTGCTATTTCCTTATCTATACATGTGGAAGCCACCTTTATGGAAAATATGAAAGTTACTCCCAATTCCAAAATTTTGTCTTAGTCTAACTGATTTTACTAGGCAATGTACTTGTACACCCCTACTCCCTCTACCTCCTCTCCCTTTCCGTTGCCTCGTTATATAACCTACGGAAATAGTTACCGCATCACCCTTAAATGTCTTCATTTTTCACCAAGACCTGGTCATTTTCGTCATTAATACACCTTCGATGTTCTAATTCCTGACAACGCCTCTGCTCCCGGGCTTTGCCATATATGTCGTTTTTTTCAGCTTCTCATTTTGCTTCCATTTACACCTCCCTCAACCTACTCTTTTCGTCACCCGCCTGACAGCCAGCAGCTTCTTAAAACATGTTTGCTTCAATTCGCTCTGTCATCGTTCCACCACCACGATCCCTATGATCCTTAGTTCTTCGTGATTAAACTCCTAGTGTATCCTTGGCGACTCTTCAAACAGTGTGGGCTACTCTCCTCTGTAAGAAGTCAACTACTCAAACCACAATGTTTTCAACATGGCGCCAGGAAATCTTGCTTTCTATGTTTAGATATTGATGAGAGAAGAATTATCCCCTTTGAACCACTTTTAAGTTTTAACCTACTCTCTTGGCCACTTACCTGGCTGCCTGCACTTCAATTGACAACATGCCTTACATCAACTAAATTGCTAATTTTGCTAGATGGACAGCTGTAATTGGTGGATTACTCTGCCTTCATTGCTCATAATTTTGTTTCTTGTTCCATGAACAAGAATGATTAAGTGGAACAAGAATGATTAATCTGCATTCTTTCTCGTAACTTCACTTACTGACTTTTAAATTTCTTGTCTTACTTTTTAATGTTAAAAAACATCCCAAAATTATGATAGCATTTTAGGAAGCATAATTTGTTTAAAGATAAATAAAACACTAATAAAATTTATTTTTCTTAATCTAACACACTCGTTAATATTCTGATGTGAAGTAAAGAAAAGTTAGACGAGGAAAGGAGGCCTTCATTTTTCATGAAATGATGCAACGGCGTTAGTCTAAATCTTGGCAGCTTTTTAGCATATGTAGGACAGTTTTGAGTGGGACTTGAACAGATTAATGTGAAGGGTGGGGAGATGTCAATAGCAGATATTATTGGTTGGCTTTAAATAGAAGTAACTTGATATTTTCTAGGAAACCAATCTTTATTATTGACCTATTTTTGACTGTGCAGGCTGGACCAGATGAAAATTTGAAAAATTGCGCCTTAAAGATACTGCAGCATGGGCTGGCTACAATTCCCATCATTCATCCATCCGCAGAGGATGGTGCATGTCCACAGCTATTGTATCTTGCTTCTCTTTCTGAAATACTAAAATGTAAGAGTTTTTGTTACTTTCCAGAGTAATGGTAGGTGTCTATCTCACTAAGTGTATCTGCTGATATAGGTGTTTGCAGATATTTCCGACATTCTGCCAGTTCATTGCCCATACTCCAGCAACCAATTTGTACCTTTCCTTTGGGTACATGGGTTCCAAAAATTGGAGAACCAAATAGACAACCATTCGCGATGCTGAGACCAAGTGCTTCTCTTAGTGAAGCATTGAATTTGTTTGTGCAAGGTCTGATTTACGCTCGCTAAGTTTTCCATTATCCTGGTTTAAACTACAATATTGTGCATTCATCTCTATCGACCTTCTAGGCATAACTTCTTGGTTTGTCACTGCATCATCAATTTCGAGTTTTTGACAATTTGCATCATTAATATATATCTTTCTTTCAGTACAATGCCTGCTACAGGTTAATTACATGCTATGGCTTTTCATTGCTTCAGTTCATTTAAAAAAATTGGAATTCTTTACTCCTGAGTCCTGATTATGTTTCTTTCTCTCTGAATGTTCGTATTGGTTGGATTACTATTTACTTCTAAGTGGGAACTCCATATTTATGATGACAAATGACTTCAATTCATCATCATGAAATCATCATTTTGGGCCCCACTAAAACTCGTCTAAAATAATACGTTATTTGATGGCTGCTTATTGTTTCTCTATCCTCCTCACCCCCTCAATTGTCGCACATTCTATCCTCCTCACTATAGCTGCCATATGAAACTAGGAAACCATTAAATAAAAGAAAGCTACATGCTTTCCTAACTATTATCGTAACTAACAAGGATGAGAGTAAAACAAAATGGGTAAGCTAACATTAACATGATAGTAAGCAAAACATAAATTATTAATGCCAATACTTGCTTATATAATGTCGTATTATAAACAAATAAGAATGTAAACTTTTTATAATAATAATACATAATTTGCAAACATCAATTTCTTTGAATTTCCATTTATGTCCTGGCTCGTCATTGTATCCTCGAGTTATACGATAACTTGGTATGCCAGTGGAGGAAGGATGGTCTGTTCTCCAATCTAGCTTGGTATCCATGTGTAATCAGCAAAATCTTTGGGAAGAGGATGGAGACCAATATGCATTTCCAATGATTTACTGGAGACTCAAAATAATCATGACTGGAACTCTAGGATGAGTTGTATGTTCACCATCACTGTTCTTGTTCCTCTCGATGGTTGTGATTAGTTTTAGTTTTGACAGCATTAGTGAAAGATGTATGGAATTCTTTCTGATCCTTGTTGCTGTAAGTTCGAAAATCAAGTACTTGGAGGTGAACTACTTGTGTTTGCACATAGCTAGGATACATGTGATGCAGCCTCCTTGTTTCATAAATCTAAAGGCACTTTGGGAATGAGCACCTACCGAAGTAGTGCTGGTAACAATCATGAATTATAAATTAATAAAATTCACCTGAAGATTTCTGTTTTGTTCCGGGAAGAGGAAGACCCTGTTTGGGTTGACATTATGTTTTTCAGAGAGGGAATAGATGAAATGGTTATGGTTGAAGTTGTGCTTTAGAAATGTGATGTAGTCCCAAAGCTAGAAAAATCCGGGCTTCAAAATTGATACCACTGCTGTAGGATGGAGGAGGATAAGAGAGTCGATGACAAGAGCAAAGAGAAGTGAAATGGAAGATAAAATCCTTGCAAGATGTTGGCCATGAGAATCCACCTCATAATTATAATTAAATCATAAATCTCTATGTTATTAGGATGAGGGATTACATCTAATACACGTGTTACAAAGAACATTTGGAATTTCAAATCCTGATAGAAGTAGGGAACAAGCAAATAAATGGAACTCCATACATCCATAGTTATTATTCTAACAAATAGTGGCAACACATTTACTGCATGGTTGATTTGAATGCTAAAAGTTCTCCCTCAAGCTTATTCTAAAAAGATCAAATATTGAATTGCATGATCTTTTTAGGATTATAATTTTTTGACACAGTTGGTAAATTATAATTGAGCGATACCTTTGCAAGAAAGGTATATATGTAGAAAGGTAGTTATATATACATATAGAAAGGCAAATTATATTTCTATCAATATATATGTAGAAAGGTAGATATATAGATATAGATATAAATGCATACATAATCTGGTCCCCCCTGCAACATAGGTCTATCAGGTTTTACCATGTTGAGTCTCATTTGTTCCCCTTTTCAATTTGCAGCTCGCGTTAGCTCAATTCCCATCGTTGATGAAAATGACTCATTGTTGGATGTATACTCTCGGAGGTAAAGCTATTCCTTTGTGGCCATTCTATTTTCTGGCATTATCTTTCTTAAGTTTTACACCGTCTCGTTTCCCTCTTCTGCAGTGATATTACTGCATTGGCTAAAGACAAAGTTTACACGCACATTAACCTTGAAGAAATGACCATTCATCAAGTAAGTACCCCAACTCTCGTCTTCTGTGCACATATTAGTAACTCTACTATTTTGAGACAAGCAGTAGATTGGTCAGTAAGTGTTAACCATCATATATATGAATTGTACATTCGGATATCAACCACCGTCCACTTTACGCATAACGTAGGTAATGGTATGATTATTGTCATGGTAATTTATATTTATTATTTTATCAATCAAGTAAACCTCAATGACTGCATTTACAGTAGGAAAAATTCCATTTCCTTCCGTAATAAATGACCGATAATTCATTTAACAAAATGTGTCACCATGAAGAGACTATATACAGCATGAAATAAACAAGTCGAATGCAGGCTCAGTAATATAAAGACTTTTTATCAAATATATCTAGAATATTTTAAATGGGAGTGACATTAAAGAATAAGTGATGAATGTTCTTGTTTGAGAGGAAGATTTAGAAAGGACGTGGAAACAGAGGCAGTTGCACTTGAAACCGACTCATTTTCTTTTAAATCAATTTGTGGCGCTTTTATTCTCTTGGATAAGCGACATGGTTTGTAAGGTGGTATGATTATCTTATAAACTGGCCTCAAATTGAAACAAAGAAGCCCCACATGCTTTTCTGTTACCTTTCCCCTCAATGCGGTTGTCTTTCTGGCAGGGAAAGTAATCTCCCTTGAAACATGTTTAATGTCTTTATATATGCATGCTAGGTGTGTACATATATATGATGCCATTTTTCTGATTCCAATTTTCTGTTTGTTTTTAAGTTATGTTGTATCTTTTTATTTGATGTATTGAGTATATTCAGGCATTGCAATTGGGACAAGAACCATACTCTTCTTATGGGGCAGCTGGTCAAAGATGTAACATGTGCCTGCGCTCAGATTCTCTTCACAAAGTGATGGAACGAATGGCAAAGCCAGGTGATTATTGCTCACTATAAATTCATATATGTTTGTGATGTATATATATATATATATATATATTGGGAGGTTCAAATAAGAAGGTTTAATATCTGAGAAGGTAAGAAGAGAGTTCTTGTGCAAATCATTGAAAAAATCAATTTGAAGATGCATATGTGAATTTATATGAATAATCTGTAACATGGGTTCACACATGCATCTTCAAATAGATTTTTTCGTTTTTTTGTTCAATAATCCACATATGAACATTCACACAGCATTTCCTTATCTTCTCACTATTTTTAGCCTTCTTATATGAATCTGCCCCTATATATAGACTTAGGTTCGAGGAAAACCACAAAAAATGGAATACCGAGGAACACCCAACTAATCACATGTGAATGGTTATAAGGGTGTCCCTCAATTTTATAGCGTCAGGATCAAACGAGAAGGTGATCAACTTACGAGAAGTGCAATAAGGGCCAAGTCACATGTGATTTACAACATGACCATAAGGGTGGTGTTGACCGGCCATGCACATCCTTCTAGACATGTAGTAAATCACGTGATTTGGTCCTTCTCACATTTCTCGTAAGTTGACAATCTTTTCATTAGAATCCTTGTATATGTATAACAGTACATGATCATTTGATGCTAAAAGCATTTGTGGGCTTTGATGCAACTACTACTGTACATGTTATATATCGCATTTGAACTACATAATTGGCTTGTTAGTGGTTTCAGATATTATTTAGCACACAGCATAATAGGTTTTCCGTTTTTGTATCTAATCACTTGTGTATTTCGTTCTTAGGGGTAAGACGGCTAGTGATCGTGGAGGCTGGAAGCAAGCGTGTAGAAGGTATCATATCCCTAAGTGACATATTCAGGTTCTTGCTTATAAGCTAGTGGATGGATGCAACATCTTTCAAGAAAACAATCTGAGGTGTTTGTTAGCATATGATGGAAGAATAGAATAGGGGATCGAAGTAATAAATTTGATGATCGGAAGCCAACGTGTGTAGGTGGTTCCTTCTTTTTCAACAATTTGTGATTGATGTTGTTGCGTCCATTTTGTCCCTAAATTTAAACATTAAAGTGTAACCACAGATTTATATGTAAACAGAATTGCAGCAAATGGTCCCAGGTTGGTGGGTATTGTTGGTCGAATCGTTGCAGGTTGGCGGTGTCAGGTGACACCACCGTAGCAGATGGAGCGGTTGGTGCAATGTCACTTTCTGCCAGATTTTCTATTAAATCCATAACCTTTTGACAGGTTTGGGGATGTTACCATGTAACAAAAGAATGCCTAAAAACCTATCAAAAGGTCACGAATTTGAAAAACACTTGTTAGAAGGTCATTCAACTAAAAAGTCGTCTTTGATAATATGTAGGTATATAACCTTAGATGAGATTTTAATTAAATCAATGACTTTCGTATAAGTATGAAGTCATTTTTCTTTTAATATGTTGGAAGTTATTAATTTAATTAAAATCTCATTTAAGATTATATACCTAAATGACTCTTTATTTTCATGAAATACATGTTTGGTCCCTGGCATAAATAATCATCATCAAAATAGTCCCAAGTTCATTATAAGTTTTGGCAAATCGCAATTTGTATGATACCTACACTATATTATAAAACATTTCCATCCATAGGATGAGGGTAAGAGCATGGTATTGAAAATAATTGCTTACCAAATGTTAGGGTAAGGGGCCGTTTATCTAAACACTTACTCGATAAACGCTTAATGGTAAAATTCAACGTTATCGCTTACTTACCCAGTAAGATTTTAGTTTACCAAAACGATATCATATGTAACAACTTATCCAGTAATCGCTAACCGTGGTAAGAGTTGTCGCTATCACTTACCGGGTAAGACTCTCGGTCATTGCCTTCGCTTTTACCAGGTAAAATTCTTGGTCTGTCATATTCATCCAATGACGTAATATGACTTGATAAGCGCTTACCCAAGTAAGCATTTGGTAAACGGTCATTGAAGTACCAATCAAGTAAAAAAACCACCCCTTTCTTACTGGGTCAGTATATCAATCAACATATAACCACCCCTTTCTTACTGGGTCAGTATATCAATCAGCATATTTGTGGGTAAGGGTATGTTGGTAAAGAAGCTGAACCAAGTTAGTAGTACTGACCAAATCAGTAGCAGTCTCAATGGGTCTTCATCCTTGCCTGCTCAAAATGGGACCATCTCCAATGGAAATTAAATATTATGAAATAATTCAATAAATTATGTAGTAACATCAAAATATATAAAACCGTCACATTTCAAATAGAGCTGGTAAATTAGAAAGTGGTGAATCCATTTGAGAATGTGGAGCAAAAAGAATTATAACACTGTATCTATCTATCTATCGATCTATCAACCAAAGTGTCATTATTCATCAGTGAATCTGTGCACTTTTTTGTATCTCCAAAACTGAAGCAATAATCTTCAACGATGCTCGAAACTGTTGAATCAATAATCTTCAAATTTTGTCTCTCCAAAACTGAAGCAATCTCAGGCCTCCTTCCTACTAGAAAACCGAATGAGAATGTAAATGTTGATCAAATTGATGGAATCTTGAAGTAGTCGGGATCAAAGTGATGCAGTCTCACGTAACCATCTTCACCTCCGCTTGAGAAACTATTATTATTACATCAGTTCAAAAATATATATATATCAGATACAAGGTAAAATAAATCAAGTATAGAGAGATGTTCAAACGAGAACATACAAGAAAAATAAATCAAGTATAGAGAGATGTTCAAACGAGAACATACAAGAACACCTGTATCACGTGTCTCATGTTTTCTTGTCATCTCAAAAGAACTAAAAGAGTACAAATGTAAGAAAGAAGATTTACATGTCTTAACAAATTTCATAACTAGTTTTTACCCATGAGATGATTAGGTCAGTGTCAATTTAAATCAATGATACAAACTAGAACTAAATGGCATCAACATAAACACATTTATACAACTTATTCATATATGAATACACGATTAGTTAATCACAACAGTCATGTTCTCCATGTTAGCAAGTGTCTTTGCAAATGCATAGAGGTTTGAGGTAGTATGACACGGCTTCATAGCTACAACATGATGTCAATCCCATTAATTACTAGAAGAGAAATACAGCACTTATTCATGAAACTAATTTGGCACGTGAAAAATCCAAGCAGATAAGAAATTTTCCCTAAAGGCGGGTGGTGTACTTGCATAAACAGGCAAGACTTTTGAGTCTGGCAGCCGGAGTGGATGTCACAATCCATTTGGAGACTGGGATCTTAAGCCAGCCATCTATATGATGCTCTTTTTCTTGGTTTTTTTTGGGGGGGTGGGGTGGGGTCGGGTGGTGGTTCAGATTGGAGGTTGTGGGTTACAAATCCTTCTGCACATAATGACCCTTGAGAAATACGTGCTTAGAACAGGGGTAGTACAATAAGTAAGAAAACTGTAATTGAGGGTTGAAGGGATTGTGATTTTACAAACCAAAGTAGTGGGGTTGGGTCGTTCAAATAGCCTCAACCAACCCAACCCATGTGCACCCCTAGTGTAGAGGGCAGGTATCTATCGGCTACCAACAAATGCAAAATCTAGTGAGAAGTAGAAAGATAGAGAACTATTTGATGTAAAAAATCTAGGCGGAAATTATTATAATAAATATCAACCAGATGCTTACTTCATTATTAGATCTCAATTTCAATTTGTTTGCCAATGAAGAATGTACCTTTTCCCATCAGGGTTGAATGCCAAAGCATTTATTGGACCAAAATGTCCTTTAACGCCTCCAATCTCTTCTTGTAAAATCTAGTAGATACATGTAATATTTCATAGGTCATTAAACTATCAAAAGATCAGATCCAAATCCAGTAGAAAACATGTTGCCAACAGATACCTTGTCATAAAACTTGGCTTCAAATTTCCCTGCACGATGATCAGTTGTGGTAACAGCAGATGCATCCTGCCCACCTCCAAGCACCACCTATAAAGGAGGTTTTTCAGTGATGACTTGTTACAACAAGCAGGCTTATTAAATGTACATATGCTTTAAATTCTCAACCAACTGAACTCATGTTAAGCAATTCCTTGGGTTAAGAAACATTAGAGAAGATGTTACACCATCATTGTTATTAATTATCCAAATACCTAAAATGTCCTTACCAAGCCAAAATTGAGAAAACTTGTGGACCCGATTCAATGTCACAAGAATCTTAGCAAATAGGTAAATTTGCATAGAAATCTTACTAAAAAGAGCACTGCCCTTTTGGGACAACCCAAAATAGAAAATGTTGCATTTTTCGAGACAGGGGGTATAGGTTTCCATTTTTAAGCACCAATTGACCATATACACCATTGAAGACCAGGATGACAGAAACTCATTTGAAAAAATAATTGAACTCCAGACACCAAGTTCAAAGAACGAATAAAGGAACTAGAATACCATGAATCAAGATTACATTAGAGACGTGAACCAATTCAATATACACAGCAAGTATCATAAAACAAACAAAGATTATTTATTGAACTTACATGGTTAAGAAGTGGAGACATGGCAACGGCATTGACTGGGCGTTCAGTAAAATATGTCTTGATCAATGTCAGCGATCTGATGTCCCAAAGCTAATAAATAATTGGAAAAAGGATAAGAAATGCGGTTAAAAGGCTATAACACCCACCATGAGAAGTGATGAAGAGACATAGATTACCTTTGCTGACTTATCTAGAGACCCGGTGAGAAAATGTGATCCATCAGTAGCTTTTGCAAGTGACGTAACTGTCTTTTTGTGACCAACTTCCTTGTCATTTTCTTGCAGCAATTTTCCTGTCTGTCATTTCAAAATAAGAGAAATAATGAGTGAAACCAGAAATAACATAAGGACGATGATGAGCTGAATGAAAAAAGGGAAAAAAAGAAAAAGTAAATAAAGAAGCTGACAATTGTGCAATTGCTAACATTGTTTACTTAAGTTTGTATTTTGTAATTCGACATGGAAGTAATATTTCATTCCAGCACTTCCAATATACACAAGCAACTTCTCATTGAGATTACCATGATTAGTGTAATTAGAGTATATTATTCAACAACTATAATGATTTGTGTGCTAAGAGTAATTATTCACTAGGATTCTATAACTAATACTCGATATTGATTTTAAAAAATGCTACATCCCATCTGTTATATTCAAATAACTCATATGATCTGCCAAAACAAAAACCATAAAGTTTCTGTGGGATGGATGATAAACAGATTTGTCCTCCCATAACCCAACCGTCAGAACATAAATTAAAGTTCCACCTTTGACTTCTCATCCACACATAATTAAAATGTGAAGATGTTTGTATTCCAGAAGGTACTACCAGCTATATATATATATATATATATATGAATGCTTATGTACAAATTTAGCGTTCTTCTATCTGCATAAAATACTAAGAAAGCATGGTCTTTTGTGTGAATTTTGTTAGGATTCTACAAATACTGCTTCAACTGCTAAGAAGAAAACATGTTAAATGTAGAAAGCATACCTCTGTGTCCCAAATCCGGACCACAGCATCTTCGCCAGCACTAATGATTGTCTTGTTCAGAGGTCCCCAAACCGCTCTATTGATCCTTCCTTGAGGACCCTTAAGTACTAGTACAGAATCACCAACCTCTGAAAAGTTACACCAATTAGAACCAAGTTATATTGAATTATAAAACCAATGCACTGCAGCGAAAGAGAGATTAAAGATGCTTTCTCATGCCCACATGCAGAAAGAGTAAAAAAAATCATATTTACTGCTATTCAGTTCCCATTAACAGGAAGACTTAAAAGACCAAACATAAAATACATAAACTTACAAATTAAAAAAAAACCAACTCCCCGATTACCTGAATACATTTATAGGCCCATATCTAACCAAATGAACAAATTTGACTCTTCCTTTGAAAGTAGAACAACATAGTAAATTTGATATCATTAAAAATAAGTCAGGCAAATTTGTGAAACAGCAAACTCACGGTCATCTGGGTCTGCGGCAATGCATTTGACGTGGATGGCAGAAGACAACCCCATAAAAGGGTCTGTGGTGATGACAGCAAGTTTATCACCAACAGCAAAATCAACAGCTCTAGCAGGTGAATCGAAACTGAAAGTGAAAAGCTGTGTTCCACTTTGAACATCCCATAGTTTAGCCGACTGATCAGCACTACCAGTAATCAATCGTGACGAATCTCCTGCAGAATTAATCCTCAATCAGTTATCTAAAAGCCAGATCCTATGCTGGTCCAAATAGCAAAACCAAATTGGTTTTCCGCAGTTACAAACTCAAGAAAGGAATGAGCACATTGTCAATGGCACACGAAAATAGCCAAAAACCAATCAATAACCAATTGTAAACTAATACAAAACTCCTATTGATGTAACAGAATTGATACATAGTTAATCAACGAAAACTTTTACAAAACCAAATTGACAACTTGAGGAAATTAATAACTTAATTTTGAATACACAAAACCGGTTGTTAACTTGACGAAATACCGAGACTCAAAGAGGTAGAGAAAGAAAGTAACTTACTTGATACATCGCAGCACCAAACAGCTCCATTGTGACCACGGTATGTGCCCAACCGTTCGCCGTTATCGGCAAACCAAACAGTTGGCATATGATCTTTGGCGCAAGAGAACAGAAGATCTCCGTCCCTGTTATACTTGAGGAAAGTGAGTGGCCTCTCGTGCCCTTTCATCAAGATTGGCCTCATCTTTGCTTTAATTTGTCGAAAATTTGATCGAAGAAAATTGGGAAAACTTTTCCGAAGTTGGAAACCCTAAATCAGACGAAGACGATGAAGATGAGTGCGGGGTTTTGGTTTGCAATACTATTTTACAGATTTCGTAGATTTGGAAAAAAGTAACGTTAAACTCTCTCTTCAATTGTTTGGTACAACAGACATAATTGGAGAGGCCCGGATAGGATAAAAGGGTATGATCGGATAAGACAATATTAGATGGGACAAGATTGGACTGGATAAGACATAATTAGATGGGATAAGATTGGACATAACATAAGTATGTTTTGTGTTTGGTATGATTAAGACTGGACGTGACAAAGCTAGACAAACTATTTCAAAAGTTATTTGATGATTTTAAATATTATATAGTAATTATAATTAACATAAATAAAGTAATAATTAAATAATTTAATTTATAAATATTTGTACATAATTTTCATATTTGTACCAAATTTGAATGAAAATTTTGATATAATTGGTGGTAGTAGTGGTGGCGGTAGAGGTGGTTTTGGTCATGGTGTGTTGTGGTGGCCGACGGTAGTAGTGGCAACGGGCGGTGGTGATCCGTGGTCGACGGTAATAATGGCAACGAACGATGGTGGTCGGTGGCCGACATTGATTATGGAGGTAGAGGCAGTGGTGCTTGGTGTTGGTGGACGACGGTGGTTATAGAGGACATGAAGATGGTAGATTGTGGTGGTGGTGGCGGTTGACAACGGTAGAGGAGTTAGTTGTGGTTGATGTAATGAAGATAGTGGTGGTGGTGGTTATGGTGGAGGTGAGGTGGCAATAAATGGTGGTGGCCGATGATGGTTGTGGAGGTTATGGAGGAGATTGTTGAAGTAGAGAAGGAGTTGAAGGTGGCGAACGATGGTGGTGGTGGTGGCAATGGACGGTGGTGGTCGACTATGGTAGAGATGGCAATGGACTTAGTGAACGGTGGTTGTGGAGGCGGTGGATGATGTTGTTGTAGTGGAAGAGGAGGTACAGGTGGCCGCAGGTAGTGGCGGCGGTAGCCGAAACTAGCGGTAATGACCATTAAAACAAATACCATATTAAGATTATATATCAAACTAGAATAGATTAATAATATTTTAGTTTTGGTCTCATTCTTGTCCCATTTTGTTCCACTTATTTTGGTGGAACAAGAAAAAACTTCTTTTGGCCCATGATGTCCCACATTGTCTCAATTCTTGTCCCTGACCCATGTCGTGCCAAACGTGGGATAGTGAATTATTGTTCTGTCCCATGCTGCGCCAAACATGGGACAGTGAATTTTATTAGTGATTTTCATTTTTCATTGCTATGATTTAAAAAAAAACATCTAATTTTTTTTTGACTTTTTCTTATTAAATTTCATGCAAATTAAATATTATAGAGTAAAGTATTTCTTAACTAAGGGGCTATTTGGTTGCCTCTTAATGATGACATTAAGAGGAAACCTCTTAATCGGTCAGAGATACAAGCTGTTTGGCAAAAAAATAAGAAGCTCTTAACCATGACAAAATCCTCTTAACGATTTAGGGGTTAGGGGGCTCCTAAATGGTTCAGACGTATGTTCTTCCATTTTTGCCCTCTCAACCTTTTCCATCCATGTTCCTTCCTCCTTCCAATCGATCTCGTCGCCTCCCACTCCTTTCACCTTCCTCCTTCCAATCGATCTCGTCGCCTCCCACTCCTTTCACCTTCCTCCTTCCAATCGATCTCGTCCCCTCCCACTCCTTTCACCTTCTTCCTTCCAATCGATCTGTGGAAGGAAATCAAACCCACAAAAAGTTTGTTCTTTATTGAAATCAAAATCAAATCATAGAACCCAAAAATAAAATCTTGTTGGTCACCGGAACAGTCGATCGAAGCTGGCGATGGAAGTAAGGCAGAGGCGGAAGGCTGGCGACGGAAAGGGATGGCTGAGGCGGAAGGCGAGAGCGGCGGCTAAGGCTGGCGACGGAGGGAAGGAGAGATGGAAGGAGAGATGGTAGGAGAACGGAAAGGACCGATGACGACCAAACATCCCTTCAACTCCGACGACGACCAAACATAAGCAAGTTTATGTGAAGATTGTTGAGGTTGAAAGTCTGCAAATTTGCGTGAGAAGGAGAGAGAGAGAGAGAGAGAGAGCCAGAGAGGGAGGAAGAGATAAAGTGGTAGTGGAGGCTATGTATATCCATATGTGATTTTTTTATTTATTTATAATTTAATTTAAATTAATATTATTAAGGGTTAAAATGGTAATTTGTTATTATTCATAAAAAATTTACCAAACAACCATATTTCATTCAGCACTTAACCATTCTGACCCTCTTAGCCATTCTGACCTCTTAACTATTCTACACTAAATCATTCAACAACTGCCAAACAGCCCCTAAATATAATACATTACTTTCAAGATATATTTTGTTTGTAAAAAAGATAACACTTCTTATTTTATTCAGAAATATACATATCTTTTAAAGTTTTCTCTAAAATATTAACGAAATAAAATTATGATATACAATTTTTTAATATTAATATATTAATAAATAATTCAAAAAATCTAATTGAACTAATATATTTATACGTCAAATAAATTTTTTTGAACAAATTTAATATATTCTTTAAAAAATAATATTTTTTGGTAAAAAAAAAACAATTCTTATTTTCTTTTTTCAAAAAACAAATATATTTTTTAAATTTTAGCGAGATAAATTGTTTTATGCTAGTTTTATTAATATTAGTATGTTAATGAATAATTTAAATTTTTTTTAATTCATGTAATATATTTATTAAATAACATGTAAAATATTTAAATATTAAAATTAAAARTACATTGTTTAATAAGAACTAATAGTTGCTATAATAAAATAATTTTGAAAGTACAATGTTGTAATAAGAAAGTCACATAATACATGTGGACAACCTATATGGACAATAAGGTGACATGAAAACCTGATATAATGGGTAAATTTAAATCAAAAGATTACCAATGCTATAATGCGTAAATTTTTCAAAGTACAATATCCTAATAAAAATTAGTTTGAAAGTACATTGTTGTAATAAGAAAAATTGAAAGTATTATAATAATTTTTTTATGAAAGTAGATTGCTATTTTGTATATTTTATCCTTTTTTATTTGATGTCATTTTAATTGTTTTGACGAAAATTTTCAAATAATATATTTTGTTATAAAAAATAATTATTCTATTATAATTTAATAAATTACATAAATTAAATAACTCATTACAAATAAATTGATCATTTTACTTATTTTATTTTGTCAAATTTTATCTTACCAAATATTAAACATTTATTCCATTCGATCATATCTAAACACAAAACACACTCTAAAAACTTAATAGATATTAAAAACGTTTGTTTTTTTTTTTTTTCAAATAAAAACTTAAACACGCCTACCCTGGAAACATTCTACCTTCATAGCTCGTCTCCTTCACTTTGCGGTTCAGGCCAAGAAACACATCCTACCCTTGGAGAAATTCTACCCTAGCCGCTCGTCTCCTTCACAGCTCGTCTCCTTCGCTTTGCTGTTTGATTTCAAACACGCCAAAATCTGAAAACTCGATTTCCGCAGAAGGTAATGCTTTCCTTCACTCGATTTCTCCATAGCCATCTTCTTATTGTTCGATTTTTCTGCTTGTTCGATTACTTCTGCTTGTTCGATTTCTTCTACTGCATATTTGTTCGATTTTATGCTTGTTCGATTACCTCTGAGTGTTTGTGACCACATTTCGGTTTCTTGATGTTGATTATGGTTTATGCTTTAGTAACCAATGTTTGCAGATATGCCATTCAAGATTTTTGAAGGCTCTGATCCTGTTTTACTGAATGTAGTCATTTTATTTTGATAGAAGGGACAAACATGCCTTTTTATTTTGCCAGCATCCAATGTTTCCATGACTAGAGTTGAGTATGCAAATATACAATCATTCATTCACAAGTGAATGGTAGGTTATCAGTTGGGGGAAAATGAGATCCAACAGTGGTGGGAATGAAACTGAACCAACACTTGTGATACAACAAAACTGACCCCATCCAAAAACAAAAGAATTTTCTGATACCACATTTTGGCTGATTGGTGTTGGTATGTATGTAATACAAGAGTGGACTAAACACAAAAATACACCCAGCTAAGGACTTTGGAGTGAATCCAGTAGGGGCAAAATCTAGAATGATATCTTAAACTGCGTTCTCATCAGATGGCAAAATTGGGCTGTTTGAGCATATCTTCATTCCATGAGACGTTGTTCATGAATATTGATTCTAGTTGTTATGAGACTTTGTTCGGGTTTAACATTGTGTGTGGAATCAATTGACGTTTTTCAGTTGAAGTTTTGAATGTGTAAAAAATAGATGGTAGTTTACAAATGGTTTAAATGATTGGATATTTCAGTTCAGTTGATTTAATTAAAATGAATTGATTCAGATTTCAGACTTAAGACTTTTGTCAGTTTACAAAAACAAACAATCTTATATTGATTCAAATTTCAGACTTCAGATGTAAAAACAAACAGTCTGACTGATTTAGATTTCAGACTTCAGACGTAAATAGTCTGACCGATTCAGATTTCAAACTTCAACACCACCTCTTATAAATCAGAAGTGAAATCAGACTTTAAACTTCAGCACCTCTTAAAAAACAAACACCACCTTAATCATTAAAAACCAAGAGTTCAGGGGCTGATCGTCTTTATCACTAAAACCTAAGTTGAGGAATTTCTTTAACCTCAGCGCAATGAAGGTGCAAATGTGGAAGTTGGAGTATCACGTTCAAATAGGGAAGAAGTTGAGGGATTAGAGTGGTGGCTACCGACTGAAAAGAGGCTCGTGGCAGAAAGAGAACACCACATCAAGAACCAGAAAGAGAACGAGTGAGAGGGAAGAAACGACATAAAAGAGGAATCCAGGAAAGAGTTTCGAGATCGAGGTCTCGGTTCTGCAATTCAAGGTAAGAAATCAACATTATTTGGCAAATTCCTCAACCTCAGTTGTGTTGGATGTACATGTGTTTTTACCCGGTAGATTGAAGCAAATATGTGAGGCTTAAATGTTCAAATCTTGGGTTATAAGCATGTATGTGAGTTTAATCTTGAAATAGGGCTGTAAAGTTAGTATTTTGACGAATTGAAGATGCTAAAAGAGAGTTATGTATTCCTGTGTGGTTTTATTGCTTGAAATGTGAGAGTAATAGAGGTTTTGGGTCAAGCCCGTTGAGACTACGGGAGACGGTCTCAGAAAATCTATACACCAAGGTGAGTTCCAGAAAATCTATACACCAAGGTGAGTTCCAGGGACCCATCCTTTATAATGCATATGTATTTACGTGTTGAGAAATTGTGAGCCATATGTGCGTGGGAGTTTAATTATTTGTAAGTGTGTCAACGTCGAACCATGAGTGTGAGAAAAACATATGAATTGGTGGTGTGTGCCTGAGACGAAAGTGCCCAAGGGGTGAATGCCCACATTGTGAGGACCGGCTTCACGTGTCAAAAGTGAATTGTGGCCACTTTATACAGCAATAACTGTTGCATGAGTAATGTTGTGAGTACACCTTGTGAGTTTATGAACTTGTTAAGGAGTTAGTAAACATATGCATGATGTTTAAATGTGAGAACTTACATAATGTTGTAACTTGTAATGATTGAGATTATGCCGTGTCGTAGTTAAATAACTTATTATGAAAGGCATGAACAGTTTTCAATGTAATTCTTTGCAATTTTGCATTCCTATACTCATAGCTAGCAAACCAGCCACCGCTATTGGGAATGATGCCCATACTCAACTCATAAGCCTGAAAATTAGTTTTGGAATAATAATAACTATTCCCCTTCCACTCTACTATCACAACCATAACCATAATGATTCCATGGTAGCAGACCAAACATCACCTGAGATTGAAAGAATTCCAAGAGCGCATATAAATTGCAATTTCCAGACATCCTAATTGCGTATGTTATTTTCTCTATCTGTCATCAGTTTGACATATTGTTCTATTATATAGTTGACATTAACTTTTTTGTTGGACAGCAGGGGTGGATTTGTGTCTCAGCGACTGCAATGGCAGCCATTGGGGGCATATTGAGGTCAAAGCTAAGATTATCTGTTTTCTCATGGCTCCACCGTGATGTAATGAGAATACCCATCTTGAAAGGCTGCGTTTCTTCTTATGCTTCTTCCTCCACAGCACCTTTAAAATTCAATCACACAACTCAAAGTATCGATGGTGTCTGCCATTGCCAACAGCAGTTTCAGAGATATTTGAGGCCTCGGTATTACCACGATGGTAGGCCGAGAGGTTCTCTTTGGAGGGGAAAGAAATTGCTTGGTAAAGAAGCTCTTTTTGTTATTTTGGGGTTGAAAAGAGTAAAAAACGATGAAGAAAAACTGGACAAGTTTGTTAAAACCCATGTCTCAAGGCTCTTAAAGATGGACATGGTTGCTGTTCTCAATGAGCTTGAACGCCAAGAGGAAGTGGATTTAGCCGTCAAGGTTTTCTCATCCCTCCTTTAATCAATTAACTTGATCACTTAGTTGTCTTGCTTGTTTTCCAAATATCCACCTCTTAACTGGGCATAGGGTTTAGCAGTCAATGCAATATCTTTATGATAAACATATGGTTCAGGAGTATTTTGGTAAAATTACTTTATAGCAGCGATGATTGTTGACCATTTGCTAAAGTGGTTAGGGGGGGGGGGGACATAAGTCGGTTAGGAGGAAGCTATAAATAAGAAGGTAGTGTGGTTGTAGTGGCATGCAATGATGCATATTCTTTTGTAAACTCTAGTATAGTTGATTTGGGAGCTTACCAGTATCTCAAGCTGGCTGATTATTATATCAACAGTTTCTTTGTGTGATTTTGTCGGGTTGGTGTCACGATGCACAACGGTGTTCATCACTTTATTAGCCGTCATTGTATGAGAATAATTAACTCTGTGGTTTAAAGGTTGAATCAAGCTATTGTATTGGTAATATGAAATTTCAATTTTGTTGTGAACTCTTACACTTGCTTCAAAATGGTTATTGGACATAGGAGTTAAGTTGAAAGCGGATTAGCTATAATAAGAATTCAACTACTAGTACTAGCCAAAGTGGGTCAATTAAGTGGAAGCTCTAAATTGTAAATGGCTATGTTATTTGAAGCTATGATTGATAAGATTCACACCCATTTCATATAACAATCGCAGGTGGAATCTCCATGGTCGGTTGCAATGTGTGCATATAAATTCATATTATAAAGCATCTTTCTTTTGGTTATGATCTCATATTACTAGTTCTGGAATGATCTGGGATTTGTGCTCTGTTTTAATGCTAGTAGCATGTGGTATTAAGAAATCGTTGGCACTCATGTATTTAAGGAGACAATTATAATGCCAAAGAAATGAAGGGAGAAAAGAGGAATTGGCTACATTTTTATTTGCATCCAATTTATTTGTTTTAGTATAGTGCAAAACAAATTTCATCAGGGATGAAGGAGCAGAGTGGACATGTGATAATGGTTTTCATTTGTTGTCATTTAGTATATTATAGAGTAGAACCCTGTTAATGAAACGAAACCAAACGTTGTCCCACGTGGAGGTAAGATGTACATAAACGTTACCTCTACCCTACCCGAAGTGTAGAGCAGCTGTTCCTGTGAAGATTTCCGGCTTGTGAAAAGAGTGAAAAGAGAGAGATAACGGCAGAAAGAAAAAAATAAGATTAAATAAAAATTAAAAAGCTAGTTAAGAGTAAAGAATAACAAACAAATAGAAGCAGGTACAAGAAAAACATAATCAAGTTAAGGAAAATACACACCCCTAGTCCACCCACTATCCTTATCTCCCACTCTCTACGTTGCCCAGTAACTTCCTTCTAACTACGCACGCTAGCTGCAAAAACCCACCCCTAGTCCGCTACCCTAGTACTCCATCTCCAATAGCTCCTATGAGAGGTCATGTCCTTGGGAATACCTAAAACTGCTATGTCCAGTTGCTCATCCCACATCCTTCTTGGCCTACACCTCCTCCTTGCCCCCCCTATCGTCATCCAATCTATCCTCCTCACAGGAGTTGACACCTGTCTCCTATGAACATGACCAAACCACCTCAATCTTCCCTCCCTCAACCAAACTGTGATTAGTGCAACTCCCAACACTGCCTGGAAGACCTCGTTCGGTGTTCTATAGAATTTGTAGGATCCTGCTATTGGAATGTAATAGATTGGCACCATCAGCTTTTAGGCACCATTAGCTTTCCCTGTGTGTGTAGCATCTTTATCTATCATAACATTATTGCCTTCCTTGCTTGTTTTAATTGTTTTCTAAAGTTTAAGACCCCCAAGCAATACTCCCTTTACCTGCAAAACACACCATCTCCGTTACTCTTTGTATCCATATTTCATCCACCAAAAACATATAAATGCTTACTTAATACTCATCTACTTTCCCGTGAATGATTTTGAAGTGCTAAATTTTGTTTTATACCCATGTATTGGCATTGAGCTAGGAGCGAACTATTGGATACATGTATTATAATTGTATTAAAATTCTTATCATACAGCCGGTTTATGGAAATTTCAGATGTTTTGGGTCATTCAAAAGCAAGACTGGTATCAGCCTGATGTATATCTATATAAAGACTTGATCATCTCATTATCTAAATCTAAAAAGATGGATGAGGCAATGAAGCTGTGGGAAAGCATGAGAAAAGAAAATTTGTATCCGGATTCTCAAACATACACAGAAGTGATTCGCGGGTTTTTGAGGTTTGGGTCTCCTGGTGATGCTATGAACATCTATGAGGATATGAAACAATCTCCGGATCCACCTGATGAGTTGCCATTCAGAATTCTGTTGAAGGGGCTTCTGCCGCATCCCCTGTTGAGGAACAAGGTCAAACAAGACTTTGAGGAGATTTTTCCCGAGCAGAGTATTTACGACCCCCCAGAAGAGATATTTGGATTGCGTTAAGGTATCGTATGTTATTTTGAAATTACATAATATTTGTTGTTTGTTTTAAGATGGTATCTGGATAGTTTATATCTATGCGAGTTTTGAACATACTAGTTTAACCTTGAACTAGAAAGGTCTAATTCTTCAGCCATTTTAGAGAATAGAAAGCTATTGTTGATTCAAGTCCCAACATGTTGGTAATTTCGGAGATTATCCTTCTGATAGATTTGTTTTTAATAAAAGCGTGTCTGTCTAATAGAAGAATGCCTCAAAATCTGTGTAAAAGTCATCCTTCTAAATTATACTATTGTCTCAATGTGCAATGGGTTGCTCAGTCTTTTGATATGCAACAATTGATCACTTTAGCCCTTCCTTTTGGTTTTAATATAAATTAAGTAGCATGAATTGTCAATTTGGGACAAAAGTATGATGTGGAAATAACAAATTGATGGAAATGTCAGCATCTTGACTAATCTTGTTGATTTATGTGATCAACATTGGATGAAAATACCAAAGGGTCTTTGGTCTAGTGATATCATAGCCCTTGGCCTCCTAGGAGTTCAGGGGTTCAAACCTTACTATAGGTAAGGAAGGTGTGTGAGTTTATTTGTTGCATTTGCCGTATATAAATATTATATACTTCAAAAAAAAAAACATTGGATGAAAATAATGCAACTAATATGATTATGAGGATTCTTTTTTTTTTGTTTTAACTTTTAAGTATGCTTGGGAAAAAAAAAACAAAATGACAATATGACCACAATTATCAAATTTGTCTTATTGGATTGGTTTGGTTTGGTTTGGTTTGGTTTGGTTTTACCATCATCAACTTCGTGTTAGGTCTTGTATTCTAGACTTGTAGTATCTTTATGAAAATGTTGTTGATCTCGTTAGGTGATTGTCAGGGTCGGTCCTAAGATTTTTGATGACTTGTGTGAAAATAATAAAAAATGCTCCTAAGCCTATTTTTTAAGTCAATGAAACAATGAAACATGCGATTTTTTAAAATGTTTAGAATCTATTCAAGCTAAGTATCTCACCCCGATGTTGGTTTTTATTAATTATAATTAAAAAATACGATGGGGGGACATAAAAAGCAAAACCCCGAATACAAAATATAAAATGATAAAATGTCCTGGGATTAGTCGGCTCGCATAGCGGGTTGGATATCCAGGTTAATAAAAAAATGATAAATCCTGGATTAAGATCGTGCTTCCTTATTTTCCAGTTTTCCATTTTCCAAATTGAAATTAGCAAAATTGAAACTTTATTTCAATATATGAAACTTAAAAGACAAGGAAAACTATAATTAGTTTTTAACTAAAATAGTAAATTATATTCAAATTGCTGTCATAGTAAGCAAAAAAGTAAAATTCAAAAGTTATAGGTTTAACGACTAAATGTTAAGCGCTTATCAGTTAACAACTTAATAAGTTTAATGAAACTAACGGCTTATTCACTCAACTATGCATGACTGTTTCGTAGTGACTTAATGATATAGAAAGTGACTTATTCAAAAAGCTTCTAGAGGGAGCCTTATATAGAAAGCCAATTTTTTTTTCCAAACATGTCCCTTCCAACTAAAAAAACGTTCTTTACATCTGCAAAAAAACTCTCCCAAACAAAAAACTTTTCCAACTTATGCAAACAGATTAACTCATACAGACTAGTTTATATAAACAAAAACGTTCCTCCGCCCATGGTTTTTCTCGTTTTGGGTTTTCTACGTAAATCCGGTGTCTTTCTATCTCTCATTTTATTTCCGTCAAGTTATGTTGATTATTTTGTGGTTGATTATCTCTCGTTATAGGACTTGAGAAAGGTGGTAGGCCGAAGAACCGTTGAACGCTATTACATGATAGCATCAGAAGTACTGAGTACTCTGGCATACAAAGCTATGCAGCTAGACTTTATGTGAAATAAAGACCAATTTACAGGCTCAGTGTAAAACTTCAAAAGGCCCTCAATTGATCCTTGGGCATCATCATACTCCAGGAACATGGTTAAGGCCAGAGTCTTCCTCTATATTAATTATTTATCTCGTACTATATAAAGATGGTGGCAACTTGTGAAATCTCCCAACCTGAAGTACGCGACTTGGTCCTGATACGGGCCAAGCATATATATCGTGTGGCCAACTCCAAACCGTTTCTTGAATAGGGTATTCAACTCCAGGTCTGAATGGAAAACACATCTTTAGTGGAAATAGTAGCAAGAAAGAGGATGTCTGTATATATAAGAACCGGAATGAGTGGTAAACTATACACGCATTTGTGGGTTCAATTCAATGTGAAAAATGTTATAGATTAACTTATAAGAAACTTTTTACATCAAAATGAGTGAACAATTTACAGTGGATACTTATGTCACTTATTACTTGCTTTCAATATTTATGTTTCCTTGTGAAGTTGCATATTTAGTTGAATGTTGGTGATCATTGTTGGTCTTTGAATTAGTTAAGCACATTTTGGATCTGTATTTGTATTTCATATTATACTGGTATAGGTTGGTTATATTTATCTCGTTATTATTTACGACTTGAGATCTCGGTTGTATCACGCGCACCTATGCCACAAATAATACCAAAATGCGAACGACAAATGCATGTAAGTGTCATTAATCAAGTAGTGTGGTTTGTTATTCCGAAAAAAGAACTTGCCTCAAAATGTATAGAGCTAATCAGGTACAGTTTGAGGATATTTGATGAACTATAGAGCTCTAGTAGTTAAAAGGAAAAAAAGGGAAACCAAAATACAAAGAAACCGAAGGATTGATTTCTCATGTATACGACTATATATATATATATATATATATATATATATATATATGCGTGTGCGGTGTGTTTCAAAACTCCACAAGCCTTCATTGTTAACTCAACTTGACGCGATGAAATGACCAACTTAATATCTATGCGACTAAAGTTCATTTAGCGCTTGTGGACTATTAGTAAAGCCATGCTCACACCCACAGAGCTCCTGCATTTTTGAGCATCGGTTGTAGTGACCGTTGAAGGTGAAGGCTAATAATCTCTGTGGCTCCACCAACAAATTCACCTCCTATGAACACGGCCGGGATTATAGGGTTCCGTCCAAGCCTCAAAAGGGCTTGCTCAATTTCGCGGCCTTTGGGGATCTCATCTAGCTCATAGATGGATGAGTTTACTCCAAACTCCAAAAGGAGAGACTTTACAGTGTGACTCATAGAACACGTACTCCTACTGAATATCACCACGGGTCTCTCCGACACCATTCTTGTGATCATATCCATTTTAGAGATTGAATTTGAAATTTGTTTACAGAAAGGTATGTATAAGACGATTGAAAGGATTATGGGGTTTGGTGTGAGGAAGCTAAGGAACAATGTGGCCATTATATAGGGTTTGTGGAATACTGCATTATAAAGAATAAAGGCATGAAAACGAAGTACAGGAGAACCGGGTTCTTGATATCTCCATTTGTCTCTTATGATCAATTAGGTTCCTGTGACATATGAAATTATTCCATCGATCTATATTCATTTATGAATTTGTATAAAAAGTCTATCATACTTTTATGGCTTTAATTATTATATAAATGGTCGAATGAGAATAAAAACTCTCTTTCATAATTAGATACTTCTTCCTGTGAACCCATTTAAGGCAAAAGGAGTACATTGTAATTATGTCAGATTCTTATGACCTATATATATATATATGTATATGTATATATAATAGAGATTGATGACATACAACAAGATCAAACTTGAGATCTCATGTTTTTTCATAAACGATTCGGTGATTGCTAGACTTTGCAAATTTGTATGGATGAGGTGGTTTGATAGTTACAGGTGGATTAGGTATGCGAAGAATCGAAAGGGAGGGCCGGGGAATTTTCCTTTCGGTTTGTGCATTTCTAAAGTGTTTTTCATGTGATGGCATTGCATTCCCCCTTATCTATCGCGATTCCAAGTGATTTTCAGAACTCTTGTTCGCGTAAAATTGACGTTGTTTCTCCACATACGTCATGCGCATCTTTTTTTCTAACTTCAGCTTTACGTGGTGTTTTTCCGGTAGAAAACACTCTCTATCTGTAAGCTGCTATCATGAATACAAATAATCCAAGGAGTCTCCCAATTCAAACCTATAGGTTGATGTTGCTGAAAATGCCTTCAATTCACCCACAAGACTTAACGTGTGAGAATATGCCTCAAATCCAAGTAAGAAATTAACGTAGCGAAGTAATTTGTGATTGCGGATATATGTAGGCCGTGAGATGAACCTTGAGGTAGCTACGATACATATTTTACGATATCATCATTCAGCTATATGTACGATACGCTAGTGAGAAGTTGATCATGGCAACCTAGTGGAAGGACTCAACCAGATCGTCGAAGCATGTTTTGTTGACAGACATTAATTCACTGATGAATTACCAACGGATTCCACCATTACCTAATCTAGAGTTCCACATACTCTCATAAGTATATCATCTCATCTCTTCGCATCACAATATATATTTATAAGATCAAAAGATTGTTGACCATTTGTCATTTACTTTTCTTTTTTTATTAACCTAGATATTCAACCCGCTATGCGAGCCGATTAATTCCAGGACGACCACCTGCTTTACGAATAGCCCGGAGTCATCGCACTTGAACCTCTGTGACCACAAGTTGATTTTAGGTTACTTAAATTTACAACTCTAATTGAGGTCATAAAGAATCCTTCAAAGGGTTTCTTTTATATTCATTTTGTCCATGTGTAAGTAATGGAATGGGGGGCATCTTTGGATAAGGCCAACTTTGCTTATACCCTCGTGAACGAACATACAAAAAGTTTTTCTTACACGAGATAATGGACCAAGAACTTTTATATTCCTTGTGAAATTGTGTATGTTAAGTATACCGAATATCATATATGGTTCACAAAGAGATATATATATATATATACATTTTAATTTTGTAAATTAATTAATCCATGCTAGTTTTTATATTTAAGAGGAAATGGTTTTATTTAAAATCCGAAAAAGGTGTTAGAGAATTCCTGAGAACCGTAAAACCAAAAGCATATAAGAATTTTTGAAGTGAAAAAATAGTTATATTCCATCAAATCTAGAACAAAAACAAGCATAAGCGTCATCCAAGTGATATTAAATAGAGAACAAGAAAATCCCAAAAGGTGAATCATAATCTGGTTCGCATAGAAACCCAAAAATGATAATGTATTAAAAAGGTTACACAAACTAAATCCCGATCGACATTTTTGTTGAGGCAACTAACTTGTATATCTTAATAACATTTTAAGCGTTTTCCATGGACCGTTCTAGGCTAATGATGAGATATCCGTGTCACAATCAAAGAAGCCATCCATAACATTACGGGCAATCGTTGCTTCACGCCATAGGTACCAAATAAATTACCTAGTGCTAGAGGTCTTCGATTTAAAAGAAAACATCTGATGCGAAATTTTGAAGTTTACAAATAATTTATGTAGAGCTTATACTTTTTGTCAAATATTGTCCACAAAACTTTGATAAAAGATATGATATTCCAACTCATGAAAAGAGCATTAGAAATTTGGAATAAAACATGTATGAAGAATTAATAGAATATGAGCCGTACACAGACACATGGGCATAGATCTCTAAATCTGCTTCCGTAGCAAAGAGATTCGCTACCGGCCAACTTTTTCCCACGTATCACTCTCAACTTTTGCATCTCTGAACCTAATATCACTGTCTGTGACCAACCTAAAACATTCTCTTTTCTCCACATATCATCCTTACAAACTCTATATATCTCTCCATGGCTCACCCACATTTCATGCACACAACAAATTAAACCCACTCCTATTGAATCATTAATCAAACACTTCTAGTTAAGTTCAATTTACAGATGGATGGTGTGAAGAAAATGGTTTCTGAGAGGCCTGTGGTGATCTTCAGTAAGAGTTCTTGCATCTTGTCCCACACAATCAAGTCCCTCTTCAATGACTTTGGTGTGAACCCTACTGTTTATGAGCTTGACGAGATAGCAAGAGGCCGAGAAATCGAACAGGCATTGTCTGGGCTCGGCTGCAGCACAATCCCAGCTGTGTTCATTGGTGGTGAGTTGGTTGGTGGAACAAATGAGATTATGAGTCTTCAACTCAAAAGAGTTTTGAAGCCAATGCTCATCAGGGCTGGAGCTTTATGGGTTTGATTCGATTCATAATAATCGTTGCAGTAACATAAGATCATGTACATTAATAATAAAGCACGTCTTAAGTGCGAATAATTAGAGTGAGAAACATGATTAGTTATATCGTAGATCATATCGTATGAGATTATAAATACGACGAGGCTACTAGTACTAGGTTTCATTTTTATCTCTGGTATCCTCTTTTTTGCTTTGTGATGATACTATGCTGCAATATCATACTTCTAGAGTTGCCTCTCCTCCATTTTTCCTTTTCCTTCTTTCTTGGTGCCCACCAGCGCACCTGTACTAATCTCATGGGTCCCGTAAAGATAACAGTCAGGAAAATCCTCGATGGTTATGTCAAGACTCAAATTGTGACCTATGTGTTGAAATTTCCCTGGAGACTGTTTTGATGACGATCATATGGAATCTTAGGGTCGTTAATTGAACTCGTTAAATTTACATCTTTACCGTCTTAGCAATGGCAAAGGAATAACTCTTAAAATGTCTTTGTTAACAATTATTTTCTGGGAAGAATTTTCTCTCTCACTCTTCCATCCCCATCCTTCTTGAATGGATGGAGCTATGCAATGCGTTGCGTAATTTGAATGCTCATCCTTCATTTATCTTATATAAGTAATGGTTATTTTATCGAAAATCCGTCTAAAATTTTCGACCACTTATTCCGTCTAAAATTTTCGACCACCTATTCGGTCAAATATACCAAGTATTCTAGTAGTGTAAAACTCGATTGATTTCTTTTCCAAATTTAACCCACAGAAGAAATTATTTCTCATTGCAGATGTCTATATATAATTTATCCTTATATATTTTCTATCAAGAATATTAGTTGATCTTTACATACATAACTACATAAGATTGTGACAAGTTACAAATATTGATATACCATATACCATATATATCTATATATATATATATATAGAAAAGTTTATTTGAAAAATGATAAATATTTGAAAAATAAAGAAGTGATCGTTGTGTGATGATTCCACGTAAAACTTGCTCCATTTTCTTTATGATAGTTAATGACTGTGCTTTAATATTATCACTTCTTTCTACGTGTATTTTGGATTTATTGTTGATGCTAAATCCACCTTTTAAACATCTTGCAATACAGAAAGATTGACATTCCATTAGATGTTCGAGTTTTATATAATTTTTATATAGCATCAATTCATTTTCTTTCCCCACACCAAGAACATGATCAAAGTATAGTTACGCTCTTCTTGCTCCCTCAATCAGAAATAGAGATTCTTTATATATATATATATATATATATATATATATATATATATAGGGAAGGGTTCAAACGAGAACCCCTGTGATTTACGAAAACACGAGAACAACTTAATAACCATATATTGTGATAAAGATAAAATTAAAAGATTTTTAAAATTAAAATTAAATTAAAAAAAGATTCAAAAAAATTTAAAATTAAAAAGGG